GGGAAACGAGCAGGCAGACAACACAGCAGCGACAAATGAAATTAGAGGGAAAAAGAGAAGATAAAAGGGCTCTGAGGTCTTTTGATATTCCTCGTCTCCTTTATCTGCTGCAGACATCAACCAGACTCCTTTCGCCTGATTGTGGAAAGCAAAGGGAAACCCCGCCCAGCTCCCTCCCCAGATCTGCCCTTTTCCTTGCATGACCTGAAACCGACGGGAAGAGCTTCATTTGTCAGATACATTACAGACCCTAGCTGGTAAAGATCACGTTTAATTTCAAACAGCCAGAGATCCGCAAGCCTGTAACAGATGGGGCGGGGAGGGGATGCAGGAAGGAGAGGAAGAAAAGTGAGGAGCCGGGGGGGCCAGAGAAACAGAGCCGAAAGACATACACCCCACCTCCCCTCCAGCCGCACTCCTCGCCCCCCCCGCTCCACCCCCCGCGGGAACGGCGGCGGCACGGGACCTGGCCACCGCCCCTCCCGGCAACGCGGCCGCCCGCCGGTCCCGGGCAGCCCGCCGAGGAGGGGGGTGCGGGGCGGAGAGGCGGCCGCCAGCCCGCCCTGACCTCCCACCACCCCCTCCGGGCCGGCCCGCCCGCTCCCCGGAGAGGCGGGATGGACCGGGGCGCTCAGGACCCAGCCCCGCTCGCCCGAGGACGCACAGCGTAGCTGGTCGGAACGAAGGGGCCGCGGAAGGACGCCCGTCCCGGCCGCACCAGCGGGGAGTCCCAGCCGCGTCTGCCGGCGGGAAGGAGGAAGCCGAGCCCTCTGGCGAGGGCGCCGGAAGGCCAGGGAGGGGGAAAGCGCTCGCCTTGAAGAGGCCGCAGACAAAGGAGGCGCCGTGCGGGCGCCGCGGCTCCGTCCGCCCAACCGTCCCTCGTCGCCACCGCCTGTGTGTCCGGCTGAGCCATAGAGACCGCGCGGCGCGGGGGGAGCGCGGGGCCATCCGCGCCACGTGACCGAGTATGTCACTCACCCTGCCGCCGCCATCTTGCGGAGGGAGGGGGAGCGGTGCCCCTGAAGAGTGCCCAAGATGGCGTGGGCGGCGCGCTCGTCGTAGTCTGGGACGCTGCGCTCGCCCGGCGGCCCCGGGCAGGGCCGCGCCGCATCTCCCGGTCTCGAAACGCCGCGGCCGGAGCGGGGCCCACGAAAGGCGCAGGCGGGGCGGGTGGGAGCAGCGGACTGGGCCAGGTCCGGGAGTTGCGCGGCACCGGCACCGGCCGGCGGGGCAGGAGACGTGCCATCGGGCTGTTACCACGGGCCGCTTTGGGGAGCGGATTTTTACCTCCTCAGTCCGAGAGGCACAGCGGACGTCCTTGGCTCTGGACTTTTAATTTGGAAGCTTTGTTTCTTTCTAAATGTAAACAGACTCCATGACGATTATTTCACAGAAACTGATCTCAAGGAAACCCACTGTGAACCTCATGACAGATTCACGAAAGTTAAAAATACTAACGTTCTATCTGTCCTTCACCACATCTACGAACATATAGGAACAAATGTATTGAAAAAACAGCTACTGGCACACCAGAGGAATTAGACTGCAGTAGTTAAAAAAAAAAAAGTGTTACTGTGTTTACAAAAACTGTATTAACATCAGTGATGCAGAATATGGAGACAGGAATACAGACAATAGTCTTGAAGTTTCTAATGCTGCAAAAATCTACAACACGGATTAAGAACAACTTGCATGACAACTTGCAGTTCAGAAAGTCGCACTGGAAAGGAGACAAAACATTGCCAACTTAGAGACGAATATAAAATACATTACAATTAAGTAGTTCCCCCTTTTTGAAGTTGCTACCTACATGAAGTATCAGGCACAATCACTGATCACTTGTTTAAAACACATTTAAACCAGTGACATTCTGTTGGAGAAAACATACTAAGAGATTGTGTATGATGAGGTGATCCTGACGTTCATGTTCATGGATTTTTGATAACCCATGGCACGTTAAAAACATTCTACAACTGAGAAAATGGTGGAAGCATCCAGTAACTCAGAGTCCTTCACTTCTGGTTCTGGAAGGCACTGTTTGATCTCCTCCAGACGGCTTTCTCTCAATTCCTGTTTTCCTGCACAAATCCTTATTTCTCACAGGGACACCTGTATTTTTGAGGATGCACCAAGGAAATGTATGCTCTGTTCCTACTCAGTTAAGTTGATGTACACATAAAAACCCAGTTCTGAAAAAGAACTAGATATTTTCATACTTTTTTCCCTATTAAATAATCGATTTAAGTATATTACAAAATATATTAGCAGTGGAAAAAATCCTCCAAACTTAGAATATTAAAATTTTTTATTTAATTCCGGGTTAATTTTTGCCTTTTTTTTTTAGTGTGCTCCCTTCTGTTCTAAGGCCACCTCAACTATAATGTAAAGCAACTTTTACACAAGACTATCAGTATTTCACATCTCAATGACTTACTTTTTTCCTGAATTAAGGTCTCTTTTATATTCTTTAATTAACAGACTGAAATCCATCTTAATATCATGAGAATATTTAGGAAGTTTCTTATACAAAGAGTTAGCAATTTCTATTTGAAGAAAATCAGCACTTCTGTGTGAAAGTAAAATGTAAATTCAAACCACATCAATTGGATAAATTTATTATAAGAAGGGAAGATAAATGTAGAATACTATTCCTTTAGGAATTTGGTAAGTTAAATAATTGAAATACTTGTCATTTATCACGTCTAAACAGAAATTGTTTTTAAAACTGTAACAGGATATCTACTACCACTGGCAAATAGCATACATCACAGTTTATTCTATGGCAAATCAGAAGACCTACGCTCTTTTATGACTTGCATTTATCTAAAAAGTAAAAGTCCAAGATCTACTACAGTAGATCCTGTAAAGCAATGAAAAATTACCTAAAAGAGTAGGAAATATGCAAGGCTGCAGCTGAATACAGGCACCAATCTGCAAGCTTTCAATCCTTAATGTTTGTTGGAGCTTGCTTGATTCATGCTTGCTGATTCATGCTGTAATGCAAAGCTCCGAAAGATTTTGAAGATGTTACTTTCAGTAATTCAAGTTTTGTTTATCAAGAGTGCAAATGTGCAGGGACTTTCAAAGAACTCATGTTGACTGGCAAGTTTTTTCTCATTTTCCTAAGAGATGAGAAATTCAAATGCCAAAAATAAGAATTCAGGCACCCAAGTGGACGGTATTAGAAGTAACTGTAACCTTGCTGACCTGAAATGTTTGTGAAAAAACCAGTTAAATGTAATATATGAAACAATCAGAAGAATTATATGATTAGTGTAGAAAACTGTAGCATTAATGGAAATGTTTAGTTCTGTTTACTGAGTTTATGAAAACAGTAACATCAGGTACTCATCCAATTTGGGAAACCAATGGAAAATGAAGACAGATCAGTAGCAGGGAGAATTTAAGGCTCAAAGAGAGCTCAGCTTTGTACAATAAGAGTAACTAGATCTCTTAACTCTTCATGTAATTATTTAGACTAATGCCAAGACTACAAGGAAGTCACATCTTGTCCCTTGCAGACAGATAAATATTTGAACATTATCTCCACCCAGGAAAAAAACAGGCAAGCCTTAGAGCAAGCCCTTACAAAGGATATGTAAAAACCCAAAAGACAAACAAAAACCACAAAGAAGATACTCTTAGGGGAACTCAAAAAAACTGTAGCGCCATCAACACATTACAATAGCAAAAGTCATCTGCTTTTACTGTGGCACTCTCATCTTCTCCATTTTGAGATATCTAAAGTAAACTAGAAAAACACCATGAAACACCAGATGCCTAAACCTAAGGAAGTTGTCCTGTGCTCTGGTAGCAAGAACTGTCACTTCCACCATAGCAATTTAGATAACCTTTTAGAATGGAACAACTCTACTGCCAGGCCTGCCTATTTTGTCTTCCCTGACTGCAAATAAAAGCCAGGCTAGTTAATCTTGTGGTAGACCTCAAAATTTTAGTTACCTAAATCTCAGAAGAGAAATCCAACTTGTGCATCTCCAAGCAGATGCTCCATACTGCCTCTCCTAATTTTGATTACAGGAGGAATGACTTCTGTCAAAAGTGACTTCTATTTAATAACAACTTAAATAAACAAGAAACTATATTTTAAGACTGATTGCATCTGCATTCATCTCCTCTAAAAGATTATTATTGTTTCATTAGCAATTATTTAAATGTTTGTTTGCAATTAAATATAGTCACACTAAGTCTGGTAACTTTTTAAAACTAGGGGATACATTTTACATAGCTAAGATTATATTGCTTGTTAGATGCTAAATGTTACATTTCATTTGAAAACATGAGTACATTTTTTGATTATTTAACACTTCATTAGTTTGACAGGAGCTCTGTTTGGATTCAAAGCACAATAATATAAAAAAAATGGCATTCAAAATAATTCTCAGACTGATCTCTTTTAAATGTATTGAATACATCCATGAAATACGTTTTGTTAACAAAGAGTACAGAACTGATTGTTTCTGGTTGCCACTGCCTTCAGCTTTTAGAGAGAGCAGATTTTACCTTCGTAGGTCTATCCTGTGCATGGAAGAAGGGACAAAAAAAGGCAGAACTGTTACGGTGTGTTGTTTTATCTTGTATTAGCTTGATTGTACTCAGTTCCATAATGGTTTATTCCCATGTTACACCCCCGGTTTGATGTGTTTTGGACTGTCCTCATTGCCTCATTGTCTTGTCTGTCATCCCCAAGTCCCTCCTATATTTCCAGATTCTTCCCTGCTTGTCACCCCAGTCCCATCCCACTTGGTTGTCAATCCCCCTTAGCCCCTCCTATTCTTCCAGAACATTCCGTGTTAATCATCCCCTCCTCAGCATATGATTTGCAGTTACCTTGTAATCCCTGCTTATGTTTCTCCTCATTGTTTTATTGTACCTGTGATCCTGCCTCATGTTACACCCCAGAGTCGCTGTGATTGGATATTGTGATGTACCCTCCCATGGTGGAGGGCCCCTATTTAAGTTCTGTAACCCTCAGATCCCTGCCTTTTGTGGTTCCTCCTCCCTGATTCCAGTTGTTCCCTGATCCCTCTCCAATAAACTTGTCCTTGGAATTACAAAAGGACTCTCCTGCACTATTTGCCTCCTCTCAGACCGGTGTAGCCACCGCGAGAGCTTTTGGCTCTACCTTTATCCTGGGTTTCCAGAATCCCGGGAAAGGGCCACTCTCAGTGCAGGCTTGCCTTGGAGCTAGCGGGGCTGCCCTAGCGTGAGTGGGCGAAGGTGAACTGCGTCACAGAACTTTTTCAATTCCTAACCCATTTCCAAGTTTGACCTAGTTGCTTCAATGGAGTTGGTTTAATTGATATTAAATTGCAAGAAAGAGCTACTACTATCTGACTAAAGCTTACCACTTCAAAAACTTGCTTCCCACTCTATAAAGAGGGAGGGGCTCATGCTGCTCCATTCATCAATTCAGTGCATGCTCTTTGAGACTCTGGCAACAAAACTGCTTAAAATTTTAATACAGTATAGTGTATCCAGCATAAGAGACATTATTAATTTTGTATTTTGATAGAAAATACATAATTTAAATAACTCTGTTCTAAGATAAATGTTTATCTTTCCTCATTTGTTCTAGGGCAGTACTTTGTGTAGATTCTGGAGCTCATTTTAGTGGTAAGGTGGTACCGTACAATGCTTCGCCAAGCCCAGCGGCATGAACAGGTGTTCAGTACATAGATCTGCAAATAATAGTCGTGATGTACTCCAGAAACCAGCTCTTTGTACATGTATATCCCAGCAGTACTGTGCACTTAATATTCCTGTCCCCTTCATGTTTTCTCATGACTGAGATTGATTGAAACCAGACTGCTCTCTGTGCTCTCTCTGACCTGGTGGCAATCCAATTTTGGCTGCCATTTTTCTATGGAGCCTCTCTCTCAGCCCTGCCCTTCATGACCAGGCATTGGTCTGTGATATGATGGGGAACAGAAGTGTGAATCTTCTGGCAAGGAAGCCAAAAACATAAATTTTTTGGCAAATTTAATTGTTCTAAGTAAGAAATAATTAACATTAAAAACATCAAACCAAGTGATAACAGGCTTCAAGTTTCCAGCCACCACAGCCTCATGAACATCTGCAATCTTGAAGCAGCTTCAGCTTTGGAAATACCACTGGAGACTCATCTCAAGTCTAAGGCAGATATTTTGTGCACAGAGAGCAGAAGGAATGACTCCAGTTTGAAGATCAGGGTCTTCAGTAACAAAACTGTGAAGATGCCAGATACCTGACTTCCAAGGCCTTTCCTTTCTTTTTTAATTATTGGTAATCTCTTCTGAAAACAAAACAGACCAAGGGGCCAATGCCTTTAAATCTGTTTCAGTATCACAATATTTTTGATTGAAGAAAAATATGGTAGCTGTACTTAACTTATTCTTTCCAGACAGAATACATATTAGCTGAAAAGAGAACTTATACTGCTGATAAATGAGATTACTTATAAAGTAAGTTCTTAAGGCAGGCATCTGGATTGCCAGTGGAAATAAATGTGTTAACATGGAGAAAGAAAAGCTCATCAAACTGATTATAAAAATAAGATTATTTGAGAGTTCTTCTAAACATAGATAATAAATTCAAGCAATGACTAGTCTCATATCTTGCTAGTGAAATCCTGTAGTTAGTACGGTAAACACACAGGTAAATCTTACCCTTTTTATCAATTGTTTCATAATCAAGACATAAATTCTTAAATAAGGAGCTTAGGAAAAAAAGGCTCAGTTTTTAGCATGTTACTCTCTGATAGGACACAAGGAAATCACAAAGATCGTCTTAAAAATGCTGAGGTTACTCAGATTAATTCTTTAAATACCGGGAAGAAATTCTTCAGGCCCAGTCAGTTTGACACCACCATTTTCTCTCGTTCCACTTTTTCTAGGCAAGCTTCTTCAATCTTTGTCACTCATATCAATTGCACAAGCAATAGACTGGCAGTAGATTTCTGATGGTTTTGATTAACCATTACTATAACAAAACAAAAAATTCAACACACAAATTGCAGCTCTGAACCAAGCACCATCACCCAGTGTAAACAGCCATACCCTTTTTGGTAGTCAGCACTTTTGTTAGTACAAACCTTTTACTACTCATGCATTTATTCTGTTAGTTGACAGGTGTAATTACTTTCATCCCTATCTGTTAACACTCATCTTTGGTGGTATCTGATTTTCCATCTTTCATAGGCCTCCCCTCACTGTTTCAAGTCGATGAAATTCCTTGTTTAACTGAGCTGGTCTCTTATGACAGTTTGTCTGTGTTGGGGGTTGAATGCTTCGCTTTTCTTTCTGTGGAATTTCTCCCATTGTTATGCTAAGTAATTGTGGCTACACCCTAAAACGACAGATAATGTTCTCTCGTAGGGGGGTGGCTGGAGGGGGAGGGGGGGGAACCGGAAAAGGAAAGGTGGGATAGGGGGGTCTGGAGCGGGGGACGCTCTCTCGCTTGGCTCCTGGAGTGGGAAGACAACCTGGGCTCTGCTCTGGCATCTTCCCCTGTCATCCCAGCGCTGAGATCCACGCTCCCTGCCTTTGGACATCGCTCCGCGGCTCTCCCAGCTCACCCTACTACCTCCGGACACTCTGCTGAGCACCACGACCGACACCGTGAGGGGGGAGTAACTTTCCCCATCCTCTCTCTCCCCTGGGCCGCGGCCGCCATCACCCAGCCCTCTTCAACTGCGCGGGACCTGCCCTGCCCCCACAGCACCGGTAACAGCACAGGGAGACGGCCTGCGGCCAGAAGGGACTGGAGTGGAGCTAGACTGTTTCTGTTGCCAATTTTTATAGCTGTTGTTGTTTTTTTTCTGCTTTGTTAAATACCAGTAAAGAACTGTTATTCTCATCCCCATATCTCCTGCCTGAAGGTGTCTGAATTGGACCTAAAATAATTAAAAGGGAGGGGGATTGCACTCTGCATCGCAGAAAAGGGGCTCCTGCCTTTCCTTAGACCATACCTGTCTTTCAAACCGAGACAGTCTGGCACACACTTTCAGTCATGACCTTCACATCTCCGAGAAACTGTCTTATCTCCTCAGTTCCGCTCTTACTTCAGAGTTGTCTTCTGTGGGATCTCAGCAATTTTCTGTGGTCTGCCTTCTTCAAGTCCAGTCATTTTTTTGAGGTTCTCCCTCTTCCCCAAGAATTGTGAATATTTAATTTCACTTTCTTTTCTTACACAAGTCATCTTAAACCACACATCCAATACTTTGCTCATTTGCTGCTGCTGTAGTCATTATTGATCCCAGCAATTGGTTCCTAGTGGGTGTAATGTTCTCTGTCCTAAATTAGACAGCAGTCAGATACTTTGAATATGACATAAATCTGAACACAACTCAGCTATGAACTCTAAAGAGCATCTATTTTCCAAATGAAATCTGTGTTCTACACTAACAATTATTTTTATTGGGCTTGTACTTGCCTTAATATACAAAATTTTGTATAGACAAAGAGTCCCTGCCTCCAAAAGTTATAACTGAAGCACACACAGGAAGCACTGTCAGAAGGTAGGGGTGAAAATCCAGGAAGAAAATAAGCTTTTCTTGGGGAATAAAAATATCATATCAATATTTTGCTGATGGTTAAATGGTTTTCACCTACAGATATAGACAATGCCTGCACTATTTTGGATTCCAATTCAAACATAACCTACACACTAGAGCTGCATTATTTGGAACTTTCTGACACACCCCACTCTAAGCTGTTTTACTGGGCCTGTAGCAGTAGCACAGTCAAAATGTGCACTGCTCACAAGGCAGCTGTGCACAGCAATTTCTTCTCAAGTTGGTAGAGCCTCACCTTATTCAGGAGGACTGAAGCTGAAGGTTGCCTACCCATACAGAAAATGAGTAGCTAGCTGCAAATGTGAGGTGAACAACCAGTGAAGAGACACAGAACTGAGCTATACAGAAACAGACAAGTAGAAAATGTGCTTTCCTCCTCCCTCGTCCCAAGAACACTCATACCTTGTGCTGCTAAATGAGTTTCTGTAAAATACACTGATGACTAGTACTTGTGTTTGCCATCGTGTGGAAAAGAAAGGCATTAGCCTCACTAAAGGTATCGTGCCTGAAGAGTTCAAGGCCAGCTATGAGAAGATTTGCTCTTTGGCAAGAAGAAACAACTCAACCTGGGCAAAAAAAGAACTCCATCTGCAGAGTACCGTGATAAACTACACAAGTTTCACAGACATACTCTTATTTACTCCTGTAAGTAACTAACAGTGACCATGTGTTTCATGTGGTTTAATGTCCAGAAACATTCCACAGTTCACCAATAAAGCGGGTGGAGCAGCAGGCTCATGTACGAAGGAACAAAACAGATGTCCAGTTTGATAAGCTTCTCTGATGATAAGCAAATAACTACTGTAGGTTACTTCTAGGAATAAGACTTTCTCTAAGAACTTCTCAGCTTGAGACATCTGTTCTTTTTTCATAATCAGTTACTATGCAATCTTAAATCCTCATGTACGTTAAGGCAATGGTCATGGCACTGAGACATACAGGTTTTCCCAAGTAATCCAAAGTCTTGATATGAACATGCTAATAAACTAATAATTTTCTCTTTGGATTCCCATCCACATATTTTTTTAAAGTTGTGAACAAGAAGGAAAAAGGTGGAGATTGTGGTTACACTTAATAAGCAATTAATGCTTATCTTCTAACTTCCAGCTGACACATTTCTATATAGTCAACTGTATCACTTTTTTAGCTGACTTCAGCAACACACTGCAGGCCCCATCCTGAAAATGTCCACAGGTTTTAATTCTCATGATTAAGCAACCCTACAGACTTGAAATGAACTTGGACATGGATCTACTCAACAGGTAATGTTAAATTAATTCAATTTCTTCTAGAACAAGATTTACCTTGCTAGAAACATGTAAAAATGTGAAACTGAAACATTCAAAAATGCTGCTTGCCTCAAGCCCTAAGAATGCTTAGCAAAAAGTACAAATAGAAAAGAGTAATTGATATTTCAAGTTGGAAGAAATATTTGAGTGTTGGAGAAGAAGGCATAGTAAAGGGAATAATTCTTGCTCACAGACAAAATTAGCCAATGAAAACATTTTCTATACTAAGTAGCTTTGTTCTTAGTTTTCTAACTATTTATACAAAATACAAAAAAGCAATTTTAATACGGTCAAGCTCAGATTGCACATCCAAAACATGCCTCAAATAGCACAGATATTATTCATTTTGCAATTAAGAGGAAAGGATAGTAAGTTAGCTCATTGGTAGTTTATTTCAAAACCTTTTGAAGATTAATATTCATAGGTGTAAAGTAGTATAAGCTCTAGAGTGAAGAAAGACTCATGCACCCCTTTTTGAATTACAGATAAAGATTTGCCTCAGTAGACAAATGCATCTGTATTATCACTGAAAAATCCATTTGAAACTAATTAGAAACAAATTCACCCATAGCTTGGACTGCATACTTATATATTCCAAAACAAATTAATTCCCTTCTTTCCTGTCCTGCAGTTTGTTTCTTTAATGACCTCGACTTCCACTAATTAGGAGAGCAGTTGTCAGGTTTCACTTTCAGAGTATGGATGATGTTGTTACTTGTATCTGCAGGAACTGCTCCTCCAGAGAAGGTATTTTGACACAAATAAATTCTATTAACAAGAAACATTTGTTTCCTTAATGTAAACTGTGTATTGTCTTAAAACTATTCAGGTTTGACAATTACCATTCTTTGAAATGGAAAGCTTTTAAAAAGCAGCATAAACTGGAGACCTGTGGGAGCAAACTGTCCAAAGAACTGCCTGGAGAACATTACTCCTGCAGGGTAACCCTGACCAGTTCATCACACCTTCCACCTGAAGCTTCTACAACTTTCACACCTATCCACATGTGCCAATCAGTGCTCCTTCAGTGAGGAAAGTGCAAAGCAAAGAGATGTAATACTATTTCTTATGCATGACAATATTTTATTATCTACAAAAGACTTGAAGAAACAAAACCCTAAAAGTAAGCTCTGAAATTCTGAAATCCATAGAAAGGCACCTGTCTATATTTTTTTTACATTTGGCCTTTGTGCTTTCATGTCACAGATGAAAAATGTGAATACAGGTGAAACATTATTGAAATCAAAATTCATAAAATAAGAGTTTAAATGCTAGATAACAAACTTTTAATAGTATTGTTTTTAAAGTGGGTTGCTTCAACTGTGTATTAGGTTAAAGTGAAACAAATTCACACTTACTTAATGAGAGATTTGACTGCATTTCTAACTGTCTTCAAAAATACACTTCTCATGGTTTTTATCAGAAACAGTTTATAATTAAAAGATTAGAACATTTTTGGGGGGTTGAAAAGACATTGCAAGACAAAACACTTAAAATTATTCAACAAAATATTACAGCCAAGTATTTTAGATATTTGAACTTGCCTTTCCTGGGTCATGATTCAAAAACTGTGATACTTGTCAAGAAGGTCAAAAAAGGCTAACAACCCTCAAATATGTTTGTTTTCTTTTTAAAGCAAGGCTGCAACTGCAAAAATGGATAGAGTTAAGTAGAACAAACATCTTGAAACAAATTTATTATGAAGTGAGGTATGGTAGTGTTGAAGTGCTACAGTGGATTTCTGCATATTCAAACATATTTCAGGTCAACTGCTCTGAAGTTTGAGATCAGCAGACTCTGACTGCTTGCTTCAATCTTTTGTTATATGACCCTTTGCAGATGTCCGATGGCCACAAAGAAGATACATTCAATTAAGCAAAAACTAACATGATCAGATATGAATGAGCATATCTGGCAATTTAGAAGGCAAACTGTAAGTAAAAATGCAAGCATATAACTTATTAATAATAAATACATTTTCAAGCATTTGACATTATCAATATTTTTTAAAAGAACTTAAATAATAAATGCAACTATTTTATACATAACTGTACCATTTATTATACACACAAGTATATCAGTTCCCTTTGTTTACAAAGGCTGGTTACAGATATATGGAATGTTACAGTACCATCTTGCATAAAATTTTAGTACAATTTTTACTTCAAAAAAGGGTGCAAAACACCAGCCTAATAAATCTGACTGAATTGAAATGTTTTTAATTACATCATTAACACATACACAACAAGCTGTACATAAGCCCACTTTTCAATCACCACTTCAAGATACTGTAGCAAGTACATTAGATTATAAATTATTCCAACTAGTCAGTTAAATGTATTAAAGGTTTGCATTGCTACTCACTCTGGAATCTTTGAGATAAAGCCTGTATTCACAACTTACTGAGCTCTTGTTAGTACAGTTAAGAGGCAGGCAGCACTGGTTGCCAAAGTACTAGTCACAAGAGATTTCCTCAGAGAAATTTCACCCAGGAGCAAATATTTTTGGATATTCCCTTCAAGAGTAAAAAAGAAGTTTTATGGGGTCAAGATTCTCCATTCTGTACCTTGGCTGCTGGTGGGTGCATGAAGTCCTTAAAGGGAACCAGTGCTTCCTTCAAAGCAGAGCACACTTCTGAGGATGAGCAGGTGATACATTCTACTAAAGTCGGGTACAAGGCAATAACTTGTGCCCATGTGCTAGCATCAACTGCAGGGAAGAAAAGAACAGACTGAATCACTTACCACTGTCCAAATACTGACAATGGATTTTTTCCAATACCTCTAAGTAATGGCAGATTCACAGTGTGCCTAAACATAGGTACTTAGTGCTATACAGACACTATGGCATCCACGCAGATATAGACCAGGATTTCTGCAGGAGAACCATTTGTGTTTCTACATATGAGCCATTTACCATGTCTCTGAAGAACGGACAAATTTAAGATAATACTGCTATTCAATCTGTAATACACATGCATTTTCTGCCTGCTTTTCTCAGCTATTGACAGAAAATTGAACTGAATGCACATTTCACTTTTGCAAAATTGTCAGCAATGAGACTTTCTATTTATTTGAGATAATTTCAGATTATAACAGCTATAGAAAGCAAAGGACAAAGACAAAAAATATCCATGGCAAAGTTTTGTTAGTCCAACAAGTAAAATTAAACATTGTAGCATGATTCTTATTATAATGTCACTTCCTTGGTATCTGTTTTAGCTCTGCTTTCAAAAGAAAACAAACCCCTGGCTTCAGACAACATTAATAATTAGATAAGTAAAACTATTAAAAGGTAGAAGAAGTTGGAGTGAAACAATTCTGTCATTTGTCCAGTGGTTCTCTTTCTAAGAAAGTAGGGGGGGGGGGTTGGCAAGCATTGCTGCATATGGACCAGGGGAAGTGTGTCTCTCATTGCAGGAAGAGGATGTGGGGAAGTCCAGCTGAGTTGGCTTCTCTATCCCTCTAAGAGGAAGACCCACCAAAGCAGCACTTCAGTTAGCTTCAGGGTTAGCCAAAAGTCTTTATGCATCCTATGCACAGCTCTGCCTGCAGACTTTTGGAAGACTTTTGCAGACTTTTGGCAGAACCTTGGAAACCACATCATAACCCTCCCTGCCTGCTCAGTGATGATGCTAATGAGGCACTGCCTCTTTCCAGAAATCCACTTTGTTTATTTGTTTGTTTGTTTCGGGATTAAAAAGGTGGGGTTTTTTTCTGTTCCTCCTAATATCAAAAGCAGGGAGGTAGAGGGAAATGTTGTATACATAATTCTGTCAGAATTTCAGAGTCCAATGCAGTGGATTTAACCAAGACTCATGATTAAGTTTCCTTCCAAGAACTCTCCATGCCTACCAGAGTGCAGCTTACAGGAGGAAAAGGATAGGTGATTATAAATTAAGCTGAGGTCTTTCATTTGATTCAGCCCTTTAAATACACCTGTCAACCATTTACTCGGGCATCAATGAGCTAAGGTCAGTTCAGGGGACAGAAGACAATAGAGCAGGAAGAGTGGGAAAGCAAGACCACGAGTGTAAGTATCTACCAGCCTGTATCTGCATTTAACTTGTACATCCCTTTAACTGCAGAGTGCATCTACGTGAACACGATCTATAGCAACCTAAAAAAGTATCATGAGAAGGAAAAGAGGATCTAGCCAAGCTTCATATATTTAAGAATTCCACTAATATTCTATAGATTTTTTTTTTCTTTGTTTTCAGAAGATCCTAAGCTTTATCTAATAAAGGACACCATAAAAAGAAGTTTTGTCTTTTTTTAAACATATCTTAGGTCCTTTTAGTTGTACTGGAAAAACTGTGGAGTTTCTTTCCGTCTCCTACATATACAAAGAATTACAGACTCTTATAGAGTACACTTTTCTTTCAAATTTATGGGACGACTACTAACAGAAATAAGAAATACATCTTTGGGGCAGATATAACGTTACCTTGTTTAGAACTGTGTTATTTAACAGTAACTTACCATTTTCAGGTTGAGTCTTTTTAAGTGAATCTATGAGAGTACTGACAGCTTTTAAAACAAATATGATTTCTGTTACTTGCTGCCTACAAATGAAAAAATGCAAACAGTCAACTACTCATTTTTGTTGCAAGAAAGTAAGTTTTACAGAAAAACTTTCCCACCATCATTGCTGTTGTCTCAGCTAGCACAGCTTTAACTTTGATACTGGAAAAAGTAACACCATACAAATCTCAATCTGAAAACACTCATCAAAGTATGTGATAAGGCTAACATAATCAACTTCCATATTCATGACCAAAACCTTCAAAACTGAAGTGAATTTCAAGTAAATTCCCATTTTAAAGAATTTCTTAGTTTTTCAGTCTAGTTTTTCCATTTCAAGAACAATTATTTGAGTAATGATTCACAGTATTGCTGTTTGGATGTTTCATTTTTGAGGAGATTCTATTCACCTCTCAATTTAGAAACTACACATAGCTCTACTGGGAATAAAAGGAAATCAAATTTCGGAAATATAATGCTAGATATATTAGAAACATTGTTTCAGTAACTGAAAACTGGTGTAACAGCACAGATTATGACCATTGTTACTTAAAGGTTTTTAAAAACATACTGGGTCCCAGCATTCTCTTTGAAATATCTTCCCTATAAACATTTCCCTGCCTTTAAAATTTCATTCTCTCCCGCCCCCCTCATTTTTTTCACGACTAAATGGTATTTTTGAATGCAAACTTCGTCTCATTAAGTCCTGGTAATACCTTTATTTTCTAAAGACAATGCACATACCGTGGAAGAGGACATCTGCCACTCAATCTCTCATCTTCTATGTAACGATGCAATACATCCTGTGACCTTTTCAAGAGCACAGAAAGTGCCATTCTAGAGATGTAGCCTTCTTGAGGAGTTGTGACTTTATTACTGAATGAAAACTGGAGCAGTGTTTCGAAACACACCTTAGAAAACTCCTCTCTCATTCGAATATCTATTTCAGCTTCTGTCAAAATAAAACGATTCATTTCAATTGTGCAGTGTGCATGATGCTGCATTTCAATCCGCTTATTATATGCTGAGAAAAGGTTATCGCTCCTCTAGTATTAAAAATATTAACAGTGATAAGAACAAATATTAAGAATATGTTCTAAGAAAAAATGACTGTGCAAAAATCACGGTAGTTCTGAACATAAGAGATGAATTATGCCACATCCTCAGTAACATGTCACATACCTGACATTACTTTAATTATAAAATACATGAAATCATGTTAAAACAACAAACTCATTCCTACATCATAAATACTTGTTACTGTACAATTTAAGTATTTTTCTATATAATGGCTTATGTCTGTTTTTTTAATCTTTCCAAAAACCCCTACAAAAGCGTTTTCTTAAAGGCAGAGAAGGCATCTGGCTAGGTACACCTGTATAGTTACATTAAGGTCATTTAGGTTTTAAGAACAGGATGTCTGTCTTACAAGTGCCTGAAATTATTATTAGAATTGGCACAAAGGAAAATAAACTGTGTAGAAGGTAACACAAGTACAATACTATATATGATACTGTCCAAGCAGTAAGGAAGTAATTTTTTAAAAATTGCAAGGAAATCTTGGCAAGTTCCACAAGATATAATTCATAAAAAAATCTGGATATCAAACAGTCTATACTGAATATGTGCCAGGCAACTTCAAGTATTTATCATAATAAGTATGCGCAACATTTTAATTATTTTCTAGTAGATTTAAACACTGTAATTTTTGTCATTCAGGTACCATACCTGTAAAGGAGGATGACTGAGAATGTATTGAGCCTTTATTGAGCATAGTCATTATCTGGCCAACAAATTCCTTAGGAATAAAATTAGCATATGGCAGTATCTCTGTGCTGATAAGCTGCACCACCTAAAATAAATTACATATATTTATATTGGTTTTATAAATACTAAAACTGTAAATCTACTACGAAGAAACACTTAACAAGTAACAAAGGCCTAATTAGACTTTGCAAAATCTTCTATTGCTAGCATTTAAAATCTGCTGGTATGTCCAAAAGTGTGGTCTTGCATGGGACATTAAACTAATTGAATAAAAACCTTTCCCCCTGCCACTTTTGCCAGAGCTTCTGATCAGATTTCAAATGACATTTTAAGTATATTCTTCAAGTCAAATTTATGGTTTTGAAAAGAGAAGATCTAACATTAGGAATCTCTCTCTCCCTCCACCCCAATTCAATACCCTCTCTATGACATTAACACACATACCCATCCCTAGAAATGTCACATCTGCAAAGCAAAACAAATGTGTTAATTTTCTAAACAAGCTGAAGGCAATACATGTTAACAGAAATGCTCTCTATCCTTGTCTTGATGCTTCCATTCAGGAACAAAATGGATTTAGACGTCCATAAATTACTGCATCAGATTTGAGAGTTCTGCTCACTGAACGCAGAACCACTCTCACTTTTCATCCAGATATTTTTGTGTCCCAGCCACCCCTCTGGAAAGATGACAGGTAATGAAACCACAGATACTGCCGTATCTTCTCTGCAACTCCTTTTACTTTGTACCCCTAATCTCTGTTCTGCCACATTTTTTTTGTCTTGGAGCAAAAGAAGTCCCTCTTCACTTCAGGTATCCTCTTCTAATTTTCTTTGGCCTTATGCAACCAAACATTATCTCTTTACAATTACAGCGATCTCTGTGCTGCACAAACTACATATAATTTCTCATTTATGCCAAAGCTTCTCAGTATAGAGAACACATCTTAAGGGCAACAATGTCTAAGAAAAAATGAATTTTTGCTGACTGCTCCCTCAACACAGAGGGCACTCATTTCAGGTTTAATTGTCAGCTTTCTCTGTAGTCTCCAAATACCATTGTAAATGCTCAGCAATAACATAATAAATAAGGATCACATAATGAGTTAGAGGCAGAAACACATTCTGATTTAGCCAGTTTATACTGTTTAGAAGCTGAGATGACAAGAAATAGTTTTTGCCATCCCATTTCCTTCCTACTTTTTGTATCATCCTGATGCAGCTGAATTCTGGACCTATGAATTTTCTGTCATGTTTTCAAAAATGAAAACAATATCACAGAAAAAGTAATGAAAGAGTAACTAAGAAATTATTTCAGAACAAAATGCAACTTGTGAATGTCACTAACTTGTTAATTTCAACGGTATATTTGTTATAGGCTCCTTACCTCAACATCAATACTCTCATTCTTCTGAAATTCTTGAATTGAGAGATTATCAGGAGGTGTACTAAAAATAAACATACTATGTTACACTTTAAATTTACAACATGTGTAAGGAGATAAGTATGGGAAAGTGCATTACATTTACAGTTATTACATGCAGCAAGTTGGTACTGTTATATAGTAATGATTAATGATCAGAAGGTCAGGTTGGGTGGGGGCTTTGAGCAACCTAGTCTTTTTCACTCACTACGCAAGAAAAATGATTTTGAGTTTCACTGGTACATCTTGAATTTTTTTTTTAAATTTTACATTTTCTTCTACACTAATGAAACATTTTTCATTAATGGGATATTACCATGTCCTTTTCCCCTAACTGAAATGATGCATTTGTTCTCAGTCTTAATGAATTTTATTAAGAGAAATCCCCATTTTATTAACAATACTTTTGAAGAAATTTAGAACTTTCTGGAGTTCTTCCATTATATATATATATATATATATATGAATTTATTTTCAGATGAAATGTCCAGAAGCAAGTCAACAGACCCTGTGGTGGGTAGTTCAGAGCTAAGCACATGCTCACAAGCAAAGCAGCTGCCCAGGATAGGACTGTGGACCTATGCCAATCTTGTCCTCATTAGGGTACTCATCTGGGCCTGACTCCCCCATCTCATTGCCAATTTTAATGAAAGTTTAATGACTTTGAAGGTTTTGAAATCTCATTCAAATCTGATTAGTTTAGTTGACAGACGTTTTGTTTTGCGTGATTTTTTCTTCCAGTGCTCCTGTATGTTGGCTGACAAAGACGAGCAAGATTTTTCTGAGATAGGCTTTTTTCCCCCCATCTTCTGAATACTTAGCATAACACACCAGAAGATCAGTCTTCACACCTACAGCTAATTTTCAGTTTTGGAATGTATTATGAATTAGGAATGTATTATGTATGTATCAATGTTTCTACTTGAAAAATAAATACACCTCTGCTCCTTAAAGAGACTTTAAGCAGATAAAGTCTAGATCACTTTATCTATGAAATGGACATGTGTTACATGTATGACTAGAAAAAACACAACGAATAAAATATGAAATTATTGTATTTATTACTGGGTTGTGTATTAGGCAATCAGGAAGTCTGGAATTTTATGTTGAAAACACAGAATAAAATAAAATATTAAGTAGCTGTATTTTCTAACACAGAGTTGTTAAGTTTGCAAAAGCTTTAAACAGTAATGTAAGCTATTATGACGTATAGAAATGCAAGTCATGTTGAAATACATGGGAAGATTTCAGTCTGACACTTCCTGATTTATGACTCACCTCTGAGCTGAGGTTTACTTAAAGAGGTGTTAAAGCTTTTCTGACCAGTCATCCATATCTGATCTACCTTATCTACTACAGATTATGGAACATATTTGTTCATGTGGCAAACTATTCCCAAGTAAATAGATTTTTGTCTGTATGGATACATATATCTAGGGGCCAAATGCTTTGCTGTTCTGGCACAACATATCCAAACCGTACTGGAGGGTCAAGAGCCAGGAAAGGTAAGAGTGTGATGCAGCAACTTTCCTCAGTACAGAGCTCCCAGACCCTCCCCACTGAACAGGGAGGGCTTGAGAGCCAAGAGCAAAGACCTAACAACCAGTCAGAGTCCTGCTGTGCACTGCACTCTGTTCAGAAGCATTTTTTGGGAAAGTATTCATTTAATTCCCTCATGTGAGCACAAACTTCTGATCTAATAAATTATATATACACACACATACACACATACATTTGGTGAATTTTATTGTAGGTAATGGCTTGACATGCATTTCTATGAAAGCCTCTGGGAAAGAAGAACAATATGAAATAATAAACAGACCAGCTTCTTACTAGAAAACAATTTTTTGTAAATTAAGTTATATGAAATGTATTAATTTTAAATGTCGTCTTGATTTATGAGAAAAATCAAGATTGAGTCTCCTCAGCCGTAGTTTGCTTTAAAATTTTTTTAAAAAGCTGAAACTTCTGTCTTAGAAGTTGTTAATTTTCTATGATAGTAACATTTTCGTTTTTTATTTACCTGGACTCTCTTGGCTATATTTGAAATATCACATTGTACAAAGCTGCAGAGATGATTTCTGCTGTGCTTTGTACTTTTTAAACATCAGTGAGTATCCTCTCTCATTTAGCCCCATAGCTGGCTTGAAATTCTATCTATCCAAAAGACAGAGGAGGTTCGCTATTTTAAATATAGCTATTCACAGAGGGTTAATTTAATTTAATTTAAATTTCTTATTTAATTTAATTTAGATTATAGAGACCTCTTGTCTAATCACTGCCAACTCACTTTCACTGTCAGAAGCAATATTAGGCTATCTACACATAGAATTTCTAGGACCATGATGACTAGAAGAGTTATAAGTTAGACTAGAAAAATGTTTGAAATATTGGTTAAAAATTTAGAACATCAGTGAAATAACTTCATTTTTCTACCCAGTTCTCAGCCAGGTAGAAACCTGAAGAACATGCTTACAAAAATAAGACAATGTGCACTTGCATATTTTAATGAAAGCTAAAAGAAAAAAACCTAATCAAATCTGTTATGCAGTGTTGCTAGGAGGACTGACTGCATTAAGGCTTTTGTGAGTCTTACAGAGATGCTGATGTTTCATATTTAGAACCATCCCAGCTGTGCTAAGTCAGGCTTGGAGAATAAACGTTTTAAGAGAAGGTACAAAAGGAAGCCATTTACCTAGCTTTGCATAAAGCCTGGACAGACAACAGCACAGAACATCTTGAGCATGTAACAGTGGAAAGCGTGGAGTATGAAAATATATAAGACTGAAGGAAAAAACGGAAGGGGATTTTGTGACATAACATTCCAGTTTCATTGAAACAAAGAGCTTAGGAAAAAATTACAGAACTCCAGTATAAGAAAGTGAATTTTCAGTTCTAAACATATTTAGGTCTAACTGTATATATTTAACTATTCCTGCCACAAGAGGTGACATGTTAGAGAATGCTAAAAATCCAGATAATGCAGTAATGGGGTTACTCTGTCTCACTGTCAGCCTCTTGGGAAGTCAACTGAACGCATTTCCCAAATTCTTTGTGCTTCAGAACCTTTTCAATCCATGCTGGCCTGAGTAGGATTTGTACAGTCCTGCACCTAACTTAATAACCTCACTATGCTGCATGAAACATTTGCAAGTTGAAAAGACACCAGAGATGACAGAACTCACAGCTGCAGTAAAGCCACTTGGTCAGGTTCAGCAAAATTACTAAAACCAATTCAAGTTTGGATGTCACAAATCTAACTAAAAGCACTCTCCTCAGCTGTGGCTTGGTTAATTGATTTTGGCGATATGGACAAAAATCCAAGTAGTACCGAAGTTTTAAAAAACACAACACATTATTAATATAAATAAATCAGGAAGCACACTAAAACCAGTTCTATACCACCTGCCTGGCCTTAAAGAAAGGATTAACATGGATAGTTGGGAAGTACATTCTCACTGCCTTCCCCTGCAACCTGAGGGATGACATGCACATCCACTCAGCAATAAATTTTTGCTGTTGCTTTCAAAACAGTGACTAGATTCTCTCAAATTACCCTGAAATAAAGCACCACTATGACTAACATATGTCTTCTATTAGAATTACAAAAAAAAACCAATTGAAAGAACACACTAAATTTGAAAATTCTGAATTCAATTTCCTTACAAGTGGAACAACTACAAAATTAACCGACTAAGTAAGCTGCAATGATAAACCACTAGAAGACACAATTTAGCAAATTTCAAACCAAAAAGGACAGGTTGCCCTACTTGCCAAGGGTAGTCTCATAGCATCTTGCACGAAGTGCAGGAAGATTTTGGCAAAGGAAATCAGAAGAGAATTACCTCAGTGTGGGGAACTTCCACAGCTATCTCTAGAGCCCTCCTTGCATCACAGCAAGAGAGACATGCTTCAGTAGCAATATGAGGAGGAGAATAAAAAGGATGAAGAAAAGGAGAAATGACTGCTATTACTAATTATCCTGACTACTGACATGAGGAAGATGTACTCCCTTTCAAGCTTTAATGTTTTTTAGGAGCACAAGGCTCAGGCTGATAGAGAAAACAGAAAGGTTATCTATCCTAAAGATACCAAGGGACAGACCTCTACCTGCATGTAAGAGAATCATACACTTGGAAGGCAAACTGCTATTTAGAAAAAGAGGAATATTAAGGAGGCAAAAAACAAAACAAAACAAAAACAAAACAAAAAAAACCAACCACGGACATTCTGTAGCCACACAAAATAAAAGTACATAAGCAAAATTCATCTGCTTACAACAAGTCTGGAAAGAGTAATGACAGTGGTCATTAATCATACTAACAGGTCAAATTATCTTGCTGCAGCCATGTGGTTCTATAATATACTGGCCTATTTTTGGTGCCTTAAATTAATTTGAACCTTAAAGTTTCAAAGTGAAAAAAAGTTTCCTGCACTTTTCTAAGGACGCCTTTAATTATGATGAAAATTTTGTGTGTTAAATTATAGTATACACTCTGGTTGCTAAAGAAGCAAAACCAGACTTAAGTCAAGAAAGACATCATAAGGCACCAAAATATTCACACAAGTGCTATTTTTCTACCTCCAGAGAATATTTGCCCATGTATGACAAATGACAAAAGGTATTAGAATTAACATACAGAGTAGTAGTTTCTAGCAAGCAACACATTGAGATGAAATTTTTATGCTTGAAATAACATTAAAATAAAAGTATAAATCACTCAATGTAAATTAAAAAAAAAAAAGACAAAATATTTGGCCAAAAAGATCATGCAGATGATAGTGGATTTTCCTGAATTACACTGAAGAGCTGTGATAATTTTACTTCCCGGGACTTATGAACAATTAATACAAAAAACTGTAGCAGTGCCAGTCTTGTTCAGCTAAGAACAAGCAGAATGGAAATGTTTAATTTGCTTTCCAAATATTTAGGACAAATTAAACTACAACAAATAGTAATATGTACTCCCAAAGCAACTTTTAAGTGAACATACATTCTTCTAGAGTAACCTGAAAAACCTTCACTTGAACTCTGTAAACCCAACAATGATATAGATTATAGGGTGTTGGATGTGGACAGATGTGGCCTGCCTGTCTCAGAATGGAAGCAAGAATACTAACTGCAGTTGAAAAGAAAACCAACCAAGATACTGCAAAGATTATTTTACTTTAAAGAAACAGTGAAGCATAAAATAAAAATTTGGATGATTGAAGTGTCTTTTAAGCCATCATGATGACCTTTTCTATTTTAAGGTCCTCCTACTTAATAGAATTTTCTTTCAAGTAAATGCAAAATCAATAGGAAGGTTTTTTCCCTGATAGCCATGTAACCCTATTGATGATATTCTGAACCCATTCATTATTACAAATATTTTCACTAATGGATATGTCTCTAAAATAAATTTTCACTGAGATTTATTTTTTGATTGTTCTGGGCAAGCTGCTATTTTATCCATCATTAGTAAATACAGCTGTGTTTGGTTGCTGACTTTTGTGTGTTTCAGAACTAAACACACAGCATATTAGCATAAGGCACTGAAGAGTCTTACTATTTTCTGTTAAAAAGAAGATTCATTTGTTACTGAAAATCAGGGAATTAAATTTTTCATGTTCCACTTTTTTCTTTATTCTAAAACACTATTAGATATACTTAAACTACTCCTAAAAGATGCTCGCCCATAGATGCTTATAGAAGATGCAATTATCTAAAATACCTAACCTTTCTTAGAGTAAAAGGCTCCCTTAGGTCTAACCTAAGAAATCTTTGTTGTACTGAAATAGATTTTTACCCATTGCCAAGGGACAAAAAAATTCTTCTCTGAAGCAAGCTTTTATTATATTCTGAAAATTTACAATGTTTCATTAATGTTATAGCCTTTTGGTTGAATAAATTAATAGATCCAAGGCCAGGCTGGATGGGGCTCTGAGTAACCTGGTCTAGTGAAGGGTGGCAGGGTGTTTGGAAACTAGACGATCTTTGAGATCCTTTCCAACTCAAATCATTCTAAGATTCTATGATTAAATTGTCTGTTCTCTGATCATTACTATTTTTCACTTCTGGAATTTCTCAGCCTGCCCATTGTAGATTGAGAATGCGTTCCATTCTTGAGAGGAATCTGTCCATCTTTATAGTCATAAATATGACTATTTAGCTACACTTTTCATAAAGTATAACAAATAAAGTGTGGTTAATTATTAAGGTGCAGTAAATTTATCTTAGGTAGAAACAAATACAACATAACTATGGGTTTCTAAGCGAACAACAGTGTATAAAATAATTTTCAAAAATTCACAGTAAGTGGAGTTCCATTTCAAGATGGAACTCAGGAGAAATACATATAGTTAATGCTGTTCACCTTAATTAGAAAAAAATACTGTTGCGACTCTGTTCAAAGTGAGGAAAGGAATAAATTGAGTACATATCAGCAACTATCAAATTTAGAGTAAAACTCCTTGGGAGTCCATGCAGAACTCCCTGTCCTGTTCGGAATGACTATGCCTTGTATTGAGAGTTCAGCCGAGTTCTTTCTTACTCTTACAGTTCACCTTTTGATTAAAGTTTTTTTGTACTACTTTTTAAAAGTATAGCTTTTTGAAGTAGACAGATTGGTTACCTTTTCTCCATCATTCATTAGAACAATTTTCATATATCAAATAGCTCTACTGACACATAAAGTGAACAAATTTATCAGTGTTTTCCTATAAAATAAAATAAAAAAAGGAAATTGCGTTTACCTTTTTGTGAATAAAAAGTCTTCAAAAGTATTAGCTAGCTCTGGCCACATACTGTCAAATTTTCCAGAAGATGCATGCTGCCTTGCAACAGGTAGTCCAATGGAGAGAACTTTAAGGAGAGAGGACACAGCTAGCTTCCATGTGCTTTCAGAAGGACAGGAGTACTTCAGACTGAGAGGTATTCTAAGTGTCTGCAAAATGAAAGTCAAAATGAAATTTATAGTTGCTCAGACAAATCTAAGATTACAGCAAGCTTCTGCACAAGATCTCAGCAGGCACTGTCATAGATGGCAGTATACAACCGTAACTTTTCTGCTAGTATAAGAGATGGCCTTTTACAAATGCACTTCTGAAGACAATTTATCATATACTAGCTAGCTAAAGCACAGGTCTGTAGCCAAGTACAAGGTTAAAAGTCAGAATTGATCCATTATCATTTACACTACGAAGTCAGGCATTAATTTTCTTTTTCTGTATTGCCATCCACTATTTCTGCTAAATGTGACAAATGGGCTTTCCTAACATCTAAAAGACTGCAGGCAGTCTGTTATCACGAGTATATTCTGGAGAATTCAGTCTCATTCCTCTAAAGCCATCCCAAGTGCTTCTTTTTTCAAAGAAAAAAGCCTCATGGAATTTAAACTTTTCCTAGTAAAGCTGAACTTTAAATGCTGGAACATAAACACTGGAAGAAATCTGGTCTTTACTGACTCTTAAACCACATGAAATTTGAAAGTAAGAACAGCCAGTGAAATTCTAAGATAAAAGCTAGAATACAACTCAAATGTAAAGCAGATGAAAACACAGCTAATTTTAAGTCTTTTAGATAGACAGTCATCTTCAATATCTATAAAACAAAGTCGTTAATAATTTTTAAAACATTAGGCATATGAACTATTTACACTTATATGCATTCCTTTTAGTATTGTTAGTCAAACCTTATAACCTGATAGTAAGTTACCTTGGAAAACCAATTATTACTTGACATTTCAAATACACAGTGACTAAATTCAGGTACTATATGTACGCCTCTCATGCCTATAGCGCAGTGTCTGATTTGAGGAAAGCAAAAGGAGGAAAGACTCACTCTGACTCTCACAAGGGAGTCAATTATAATTAACTCTTCATGGCAAAAAATTATGACAGCTAGAATCTAACCCTAGAGTTAAACAGAACTTTTTTTTCTGCTGTTATTGGTCATATGTCAAATCAAATTCCAAAATCAGCATGGGCTTTAGAGACATGAAAAATAAATTTAAAAGCATTTTCGTATATCGCAATAGATCATATTATTATCAACTGCAAATGTTACAAAAAAGTGGTATTTCTATCAGTTTCACCAATCCCATTAAAATGGAAGTGGAAAACAACTGCATTAACTTTGAAATGAAAGTATTTAATTCATAACCGATTTCAAATAATATCACCTGTTTTAAACACATTCAGGCTTCTAAATTTCTATACAGGAAAGTCCTGATGTCAGCCAAGTCATTGCAAACAAGCTAGGTCAGATACCTTTTTATTTTTCGGACTTCTGGAAAATATTACTTCTATTATTTACTAAATTTTTTTGCTGAAATAGAATGGTTAAAAAAAAATGAAGCATTTGACAATTTCACTTTAAAGGTATATTTGGTCACCTGTAACACTGACAGATGAAGTCATTAAAAGCAAATCAAAAGTAAGAGAGCAGATGCCCCCGAAGTATATTATGCTAGTCTACAGAAACTGGGCTTTGGCCTTCAATGCTGTATTTTTAGGAGGCTTACTAACCACACTCAGGTGCATAACACTTTCAAAGATGAAAATTTTGTGGCTTCACACATTTGTTAATTTTTATCTTAACACTGAAATATTGATGCTGACACTATCCAGCTCAGAATAATACATATAGACTAATAAATAGCCTTCCACATTCAAAAGAAATTATTCCTGGCTGCTCATCTTTATAAATATATCAATCTGTTTACTACAGCTTGAAGCTTCCCAGGAAGTGTTTGTTGACACTAGCTGAAAATAAAACTCATGATTTTCTATGTAAGCTCATTAAATTCAGAACACATGTAGGTCAAATTTTTACCTTAATAATGTTCTGAAGAACCTTCTCTGTTACCACAGCTTTATGGCAAGCTGTCTTTTGGTATAAGTCCACCACAACTTCTAATGATCTTTCTGCAAATGGTACGTAATTCAATGCCACCCATTCTGCCTAGGAAAAGGAATTAGTAAATTACTAAATCATATGTGAAAACATATTAAGGAACAGAAAATGTATGTTTTGCACTGAACTCTCAGTTTAATGCATGCAAGGTTTGCTAAGAATATGGTCCAAGCAACAAAACTGCAAATACAACGTAGCCCGGCTAAGAAAATGTACTCTACATTGAAGTAAAGTACATTTAAGTTGGAGAAATGTTGCAGTCTAAGCAAGAGAACAATATTAGGACAATCTTTAAGGAAATTTAACTCACCGGTGCAAATAGTTGTATCTAGTGTGATTCCATTGTGTTGCAAGACAAACAGAATAAGAAAAATTAATACATACATAATAGTTACCTCTTCGATTACACTGAATCAGATGCTCATGCTCAGTGAACAGCAGTGTACGCAGATAAAAAGAATTTTTGAATACGTTCCATTTCTTTACACCATGTGCAATTCAAAAATCTGCAGCTTGCAGGAATTTTCTCCATTCAAAATTATTATGGCTCTACGTTAAATTTAGTATCTCTTGTAGGACAAATTATTTTAGATTAATTCAAGTACGAATTCAGACACATTTGTCTGGTGTCTAAGCCAAACCTTTCCTACATTAAGGAATACAAAGTATAAAAGCAAAGAAGAATGCAAAGAGAGTAAAAGCAGATAACAAGAGCATGTAAAAAAAATTACACAACATGCAGTTAAGTTTCTACAGATTGAACAAATGCATGTTGCTGAACAACCTATATCTGAAGCTGAATTGGATTAACCAGCCAAGTGACACAAGTGAGATTTCTAATTAGTTACCTGATTATACTTAGCATTTGCAATATGCTTGGTTTCCAGCTGTCCATACTGTGGAGGCTTGCAGGAAAATTCTACAAAGGCCAGCAGTTGGTCAAAGATTGCAGGATACATTATCTGCATACCTTCTGAGCCCACACATATAGCCTTTATTAAAAGAAAATGCAGAAGTTTAATATATATTTCTTGAACTTTTGCTTTAACACCTGCATCAGTACAAGGAACTCCTAAAAAGAAAATCCCCATGTAAGACTATGCAAGAGTTGTGCTGTATGAAGATAGTGTATAGTTCCAATAGTGTAAGGAAATTAAATTTTATGACTTTATTGAAGTAAATAAAGTGGCAAGATAGCTGGACATATATAGTTCAGTATATACAGCTATCTCATCCGATAAAAGACAACTTTTCTCCACAAACTCTGCTTCAACTTGTCAGTAAAATAAAGTCTTACATAAGTCTTGTATATAGATCTCAGCCACATCTTTGTTAAGTTCTACTTCAACAAACGCTTAAATCTCAGAAATAAATCACAGAAGGCTTCAAAAAGCAGTTAAGAGTGTCTTATAGAAAGGAATAAAATAAATAAAATTAGAATGATATGGTTTGGTATAGCTGAAACTCATAATCTTCCTTTAAAAAGGAAAACATTTCAGGAACAGTGTACTTATATTACCAAAAAACCCCCAACCCCCCTCTACTACAGCAGTAAAAGACTAGAAGATGAGTTCTAATGAGAAATAAAAAAACAACAGCAAAACAAAGGCTGTAAAATGAGCTCAACATAGAAGCCTGAAAAGAGATCCAACGCTCCCTTCCATTTCCATGTTCTTGAGTTGCAATGATGTCCTTTGTTAGTGAAATCACATTATAAAATATATTTATTAAACTAGTCAGAGTTCAGTCTGACAAGGCTTTTTTTCATGCTATTCTAACTGCAAAGTCGTTCCACAACTTCTGAGAAAATCAGAACTGACCTAAGTCTTCCTGTATCAGCAAAGAACCTGATCCTACACACAAACACAATTTTATTTCAGAGACTGCAAATATTTACATACTCTTCTTTAATGCTTCCACTAGCTTCTGTGCGTACTCCTGAGAGTATCAACTGATTTCAAGAGAGGAATAAGGTACTCTGCTCCAGCCTAAAGCAAAACCATCGAACACATGGCCTTTGCTTCACATCAGGACTGGCTGGCTGCCTTGCCATGTGAACTGTACTGTGTTTATACAGTCAAGAGGAGCACTCACACAACCTCACAGAACTTACCGATGTCCAAAAATACTTTAAGTATTGTTTTTAGGAACTTCAGTGCTGTTTGTATTAGTAACATAAGCATAGGTGGGATGGGAGTTTGGGGTACCATCTTATGAAAGTCTGCATTTGCAAAGGCTTCTAACTGCCATAGTAACCCATCGACACTGGGAGTGGAGAAGGGCAGATGTCTCACTTTCTCATGTAGAGTTATTGCTTTTGTTATTGTTTAGAAACTTTCAGCTAAAACATCCTGACAAGAACAAGAATATAATAATGTGCTGTTTTTCCTCATGTTAAAAACTCTCCTAACCCCTTCTTTGAAAAGCCCTAATGCCTGCAGCCTTTGGAAACTAATATCATCTGGATAAGGAGACTAAAAAAACAGAAAAATCTGAGATGAATAAATAGACTGATCAAATGGGAAAAATAGGATTTGGGCTAGACTGACCTGCTGGAAAAGGGAGGATAAAAAAGGGTCAAACTAATTTTGACTTTCCTGAACTGGAAAAGGATGAAAATTTAGTAGACATGACAGGTTTTAAAACTTCGTATTATTTACACACCCACATACAAAACAGAGATTTAATGTCAACTTCTATCCAAGAAAACTAAATTGAAATTCATAGCATTTCCATGGCAGAGATGGTTGGAACTAGATGACCTTTAACGCTCCTTTCAATACAAGCCTTTTTATGATGATATTCTTACACGTTATCTTACCTTTATAAGATACTTTTATCTACTATCTTTCAAAATAAATGAATGCATATTTGTTAAAACCTTCAACTAAAGGAAAGGCTGCAAGATAGTGATTCTACCTTGCGTGTTTATGTTTGAGATTAATCAGCTCACACTAAGCAAGAGAGAAAATGAGACACTGAATTGATGCTCATTTGGCAGCCACTATGTGTTCTATGAGCTAAATGGGGCAGGATCCTTACAGCAGCAGGGGGGATGCATGGCCACATAGTTAAGCAAAGTAGTCATAACATGAAAATCTAAAGGGAATGAAGTCAGGTCACGTGGATTTTTAATTCTGCCATTTCCCAAGTAAGGCTGTGGGGTTTTTTGGGGGGGTATTTTTTTTAAAGTAGTGCTTAATTTATATGCATGATTTTATTCATTATCAACTCTGCTTTTTTTGAATAAATAAGTTTTGTGAATGAGCACTTTATTTTGCAAGGAGATATTTTACAACTGCAGAAAGAAAAAAGCAAGCAGTACTATTTCCTTTTTTTTTTGGCTTTCAGAGAAAACGCACCCTCATTTGTTGCTTACAGATTCACTTCCATGAAGGGTGTTCTTTGAGGATGAGTTCTATAGTAAGAATTTCTTAAGCAGAGATGCAGCATTTTCCTTAAATAACTGATTAATAAAAGGCAAGAATGTACGTCATCTGCCAAAGAGCCTTCTATACTTTATGCTTTGTGTAAACAGTAAATTCTCATGATCACTGTTTTTTCTAGACTGTTCATGGCAGCACCCGGACATCATATGGAACACTGTGGGACTGTTCCTCCATCTCCACATACAGATCTCTAGTATCAACATCAACAGTACTTCAATATTAGATGGACAAGTAAATGGCTACAAACACAGCATAACACTTAAGGTACTTCTGCAATCAAGTAAAAGCACTTTTCATAAAGATTACACCTCTCAATGCAGAGCATCTATTTTGCAGCAGGAATGGAGATCTGATTGTTATAATACAACACACTGTGCAATTATAAAAAACTTTTAAAATAATATGTAAATCACCAGACTATAGTTCTATAGAGAAGAAGTAGGACACACTATAGTTTACCTTTCACACACTAGAAGTTTACCTTTTGTAAAACATCTAAAGCTGTAAGCACCGCTTCCTGTAAACTTGTCAAAACTGCTTCAGTGTAAGATGGAAGGATGAAAGGGGAAGCATCTGAACTGATTGGAACTGAAACAGCACCGTGCAAAATGACACCCAGCTTCTGGAGATCATCCATGCTGAAACCCGTTTTGATGTGTTGGTAAAGAGCTGGGAATATCTGAATTAAAGCTGTAAGAAAAGGCTGACTGGGAATGAAAGTCAATTTATCACAAGTAATTGGAGGCCTTGTACTTTCTGATCCAATCCTATACCAGCTGTTCCAGGCTGCCCACCAAAGATTTAAATCTTCAATCTCATCTGTTATTACAGGAGGTTCAGATCCATTGTATCTTCCTATTCTTTCTCCTATGGAGTCAGTTCTCATGAATGATCTGCCAAGACTAGTGGCAGTTGATCCTACCACCAAAGGTACAGAAACATTGATTGCAGGTGGTGTCTCAGGCTTCTCAGAGTCTCGAACAGGAGAAACAATTTGTAGGATCTCCTGGAAGCTTTTCAGAGCAGCCAAGGAAACTTCACTATTTTTGCTAAGTGCTGCTGACTGGATGTGATCAAGAAGAACATCCCAGGCTTGGGAAAAGTCTCCTATTAAAAAAAAAAAAAAAGGGGGGGGGGGAATCAATTTGGAACTTGTTACTCTAATACACAGAAATTTCAAGCGATTAGGTGACTCTTATCAGTTCAACCATAACCTGAAAGAATGAATGTGATAGAGAAACACAAATATGAAGAACTAAACAATATAGCTATGTTCATGCTAAATTTGCTAGCAAAAAAAAAATCACATACCACATCCCATACCAGTAAAATACATTTTCTTCATTTAGTATAGTGAAACAGATTTGTTCTTATATATACACCAGATGCCTGTTGATTTCAAGAAGGGTTAAGCCCATACAAGGAATTAAGGGTCAAATCTATATTCATGCAATGCCTTTATAAAGAATTTATATTAAAATGCTAATTGTACTGTGGAAAGATTTCATTTGAGCCATTTTTCATTAAATTTAACCTTAACCTTCAATTTTCTATATTAGTAATTACAGGGTTTGAATAATTAAAAGTAATTCTAATTTTTTATTCACTTTTAACTCAAGTTTAATATAGCCTAAATTCTACCACATTTCTGTAAATGACTAATACACTTACTAGCTGTTAATACGTTGATACCAGAATCACACATGACCAAAATGAAATACAACTTATATTTTAATTGTTTATTACAGGATGCTGAAGGTAGATTAATCTAATGAGGACTTTTCTTTGTAAGCTATACATTCTCTATTCCTTTTGTACTTTTTCCTTGTAGAAATAACCAAGATATTATAAAATATTACTACATACAGCTAAACAATGCAAATGTTCAATACTACACTGACTTTACAGGTAAGTTCTCTTTACATTCTAAGAGTACTATTAAATTTGGCACACTGATGACACAGAAGAGTTCCAGGCAAGTGCTGCATTCCCTTAGACAGACAAAAGGAAAAGCATACTCTGACAAGAACAAAGAATTATTGTTATTGGTCTACTATAATTTAAAGCTATTTAGCGCCCAGAAATGGGACTGAATTGTGACTACTGAGATGTAATCTCAAGTACTGTGATACAGAAGAGGAAATCTGTAGTTACAATTTTTGGCTCTACAGACCATTAATTATTAACTCCATAATTTTCATAACATTTGAGGTGACACAACAAAAAACATTTCTGAGCTAAGATTAAGATTCTTGCCCTGTACTTTAACTAAAAAGAACATATAAAAGCAGAAAGTTAATCATTGTGTCTCTTAATAAATACAAATTTTACCTAGAGGCTGCAGTAAGTATCTCCTGGTGTTAAATATTCTTGCAACTCCAGCCAGTGTTAATACCCATGTCTCAGCCCACTGTTTCTCAGCTGTGTCCCTTGAATGATGAATGAGAATGTTGCCTCCTCCTGATTCAATCTTCTCTTTGTCAGCTGTCGTAGAAGATTCTCGAACCCTATCCAACAGGTGAAACAAGACCTGCAATAGCCAGAAAAAAGAGGAAAAATACAACTTTTCAAATAATATAGATGTATTCATAGTAAAGCAACAAAACCCAGTAATTCTTTCATTATCCTTTCTGTCATTGCATCATCCTGAAAATTCCCTTGTTCTAAACAGCCTCCACAGCAGCCAAGAATAACAATCAAGCTAACTGATGGCCAGTTGAGAAGGGCTGGAAATAGCACACTCAAGCCCACCAAGAACAGCATCAGCACCAACAGAATGGTAAAACCAATCAATCTCAGACACTTCAATGGTACAACAGGCAGGCTCAAATATAGCCTAAAGTTTCCATAAAGCACAACAAACATGACTGTGACTTAGAACACAGCACTTGATAGATCCTCTCGAAAGATTCAAAAGAGAATGCAAGGCAAGGCTCCATCTAATACCAGATGAGCCCAGTCACACGACCCTCAAACATCTCCATTTTCATACAAAAGATAGGTCATTCATTCTTGTAGGAAGGAAACCATCTTTTTATCAAACTCCTGAGTAAAAAGCAAATAAATAGGATATTTAACATTATATTTTAGAAGAGGCTTCAAAGGCTAGAGAAGACAAAGTGTAAAAAAACATGCCCAAAACCCAAGAGATCAGATTTCTGCCACCTTATGTTAAATTTAAAAAGTCTAATAAATTATTGAAATGATAATGGTTATTAAATGGTAAATGGGTAATGGTCATTAATATGTAAATGCTCTTTACAAAACCTTCAGAGAAAGCTTCCACATCATACCTTCCATATTACTGTGTGCCATGTTGAATGTTGCAGTAAAGTTCCATGAGCACCAATAGTAGAAAACAATGTCTGCCCAGCGCTCTTTCTAACTGCAGGTCGGGGATCCACACACAGTTCTCCAAGTTTGGCATACAGGCATAACCAAAGACAGTCAAATGGTGATGCAGGATGAAAAGGTCTGTTCAGCATCACTCCCTTTTCTTCTGCCTGTTTCTGCAACACTGCTTCTTCTTTGTTTAGCTCCTTTTCAATTATTTCACCTCTTTGGAAAAAATAATCTGAAATATTCCACTACAAAATAAATAAGACATATGGTGTTGTACAATAGAAATAGGGTAATGCTCTTAAAGATCATGAAATAAATTGTCTCTTACTTTCACAAAGTATTTTGCGAAGTACATCAAGATACTTATTTCCCTACATTGGTGAAATAAGATCAGCACACAAATACTACAAGATCCAAAAATTACTCTTCTTTCTCAACTTTTAGGTTCCCATTATAGGGGGTACCAAAAAATTAATTAAAAATAAGATACTGATTAACATGGTTACAATGCAATACTATTTCTTTTAGTAAGCCACAAATCATGGAGATTAAAGGCAAGATGTAGATTCACTCAATTTACCTATGGTTCCAGATAACAGCATGGGAGTTCAGTAAGAACCCAAAAAGCTAGGTTGTGGCTTTCACTTTTATAACTGACCACAGATAAGTTTTCATTTAAAAAGAAAAGCAAAAATGAAAGCCAGAAGTAGCATCACTGTAGGTTAATAAAAAACTCACCAGCAAACCAATTGAAGTTAAGCTAATATTTAGCTCTTGGTTGTGAAGTCCAAAGCTTCCTGCAACTTCAACAACTATCTGCAGACAAGTACATGGCATTGTAGGAAGGAAGTCAGTCACAACCAGCTGAAGACACTGGAATGCAGTCCGTATTAGGGACTCTCTTAAAAAAAACAGAAGAAAAATAAAGCATGCGTGCACACACACTCATTTCGCATTTCTTCAAGAGCATGAAGATTTTTTAATACATCAAATATTAAATTCAAAAAGAAAAATATCAAATTAACGTTTTTGAGAAGAGTTTGCACCATTTTAAATGGGTTTTTGAGATATAAGTTTAAGTTGAAGCTTAAAATTCTGATGCAGTAGTTTAGTCCATGTTAACTATCTGTGGAGTTAAGTTTAGACCTTCCAGCAGTCCTTAGCTAATTCTTATAGTGAAGTCCTTTTCTCTGTTTTAGAGCTCTAACATTTGTTTGTTCAAACGTGTTAGCCAGAATTGTAGGAAAAAAGCCACAATGGACAAAAAAAAGCACTTAATTTAAGCATTATAATCTTCCAAAGAGTAAGCTGTTCTGAAGAATTTCTTGTATCAGCAGTTACAAATTACTTAATTACTTCAAGTATGCCAAACAGGTGGGCAGAATTTGTTTTTATTTATTAGGAAAGATGCATGCTAACATAATGGTAGTCTTACTTGCTTAAATACTACATTATATCAGACAAAAATTTAAAAAATACCTACCATTAAATAGATTCTTAATAATTACTTGGCCTTCAGAATTAGATTCTGAACAAAAACATAAAACTATAGTACAGAAAAAGTTTACAAGAAGGAGTTCTCAGAAGCAGCAAGGCCCTTAACAACTAAAATCTTGCTTAGTGAGAGACAAAATGAAGGAATCAAAAGGAGTGGTGGAGTGTACATAACACAAAATAGGGAAGCTGCATTTAAATTTCACTGCAGGGTTTTTTCAATGTTTAACGTACAATAGAATTAATTTCAAAGCTTTGTAATACAGAAGCTTCAGGATACAGATACTGGAAAAAATTTCAGACTATAGATATGCTAGCTACCTATACCAGAATTACAAATGAATTTTTTTTTTTATTAATCCAATATCAAAATCAGAGGTGGGTCATTTCCACTGTATTCTAACAGCCAACACGATATAGATACCAGAGGAATACACAAGAAACTTCACATGGACAATAATGTATAACTAATAATTCTTTAATATCCATCCTACCACGTAAGATCAAAGTATTTATCAATGCTACACTGATGGAGGATAGACTCACACAACACTCTCCCCCCATCATCATTACTCATATAGGAGTCTATAGAGTGAAACAGATCCAAAACTGCTGCAGTTCCCCCTCCAGTACAAAGTTTCATGGGTATGCGACTTTCAATGACTCTAAGAGAAAAAAGAAGGAGGCAAGAAGTCAAAGTATAGTTCCACTACTCATTTTGAAGTACTGAGTTAATGGGAAAGTAACCCATCTTTCTAAACTTCAAATGCAAGGCTACAAGAACAAATTCAGATGAGTTTTTCCCAATGAAGGTCCCACACTACTATGTGTTTGAAGAAAGGTTTTAAACTCCCTCATGCAAGTAGCAACAGCTACCCAACTCTTCAAATTGTGGAATTGTCCTTTGTGTTATAGGTGATCATAAAAAGGCAGCTATAAATGGAAGAAACTTAAGCTTAGTGAGAAATCTTTAGATTGTATAATGCTTTATCTATGCTTAAAATAAGCAGAGGCTTTCCACTGAAAAAGTCTTCAAAGCCAAGCTTCCTTTTGTTTGGCAGGCTAGTACTGTACAATCCAGAAGTGACCAAAGTATGGTTTTTGGCTATCAAAACAGCATTTTCTGTATTTATAAAAGCCTGGAAAGAAGTTCTCCAGACAAGTAAATGGATTTCTGTCCTGGAATCCAAGATGTTCACTGATCAAAGGGAAGACACTTGTGAATAAAGTCTTGTGGTCAGTAAGTTAATATTTAAAGTACGATAATAGTATCTGCATCTTATGCTCATAGCTGTAACTTAGGTAAGAAATTAAGTTCTTCCTCAGGGAAAATAAGTCATGCTTAATTTTTTCCTACTGTACTTAATATGTTGTGGACAAACAGGGCTACGTAGTTGAAGCAGATTATTCCATATGCTTTGAAGAAGGAGATGAAGATATAACACAAGATGTTAGTAACATCATGAGATACTGGCCAGTGAGATACAGGTTTGAGATTTAATGGGATCTGAAGACTGTCTTGAGAATGAATTTGTGGTAGTTCTCATCCATCACTAACAACAGTGAAAACCAAAAGGCATGCAGGAACACATTACACCAAATGTGGAAACAACAACTACCAAAGGAAGCTTAATTACAAAATAGAGGATGCTGACAAACAAGAATGCCAAATTCCTTGGGAATTTTGGTAGGTACTACTGCCAGTGCAAACAAAACTGGTCAAGAGCAAAATCCTTCAAGCATTTGAAGGGGCTTTAGGTTTTTATATGACCAAAAGACTAAAGCTAAGGTCGGACAAAAGGAGAGATATGCCAAGGAAAATTCTACTAACACTAGAGTTACACGATGACCTATCCTGCTGCTAGTCTTGACTATCACCTAAAAAACAATAAACATTGTTTGAGTGTGTGGGTATACTTCCTGGTGCTTACAGTTGCAAAGTCAGATGTTCAATTCACTGCTCATTTCATAAATACTCCTTTTAACTTCATCTCTCACTTTCCCTTGTGGGCAGAGAACAAGTCCACCTCTGCTGGCAACAGAGTCAATTGTGTAAGTCAAGGGATTCGCCCACAGCCAGTAAATAATCTTCCATCCTTCTGCTACCAGCAACCATTTAGGTAGGAAGGCTTCAAGAAAAAGAGAGAGCGATCAGAAGAAAATACACACTAGAGACTATTGGAAGATTTAAGAAGGAAAAGAAACAACAGATAAACTGAGCAACACCTGATTCACACTGAAGCATTGGCAAGCACCAGAGATGTGTCCACCAGATGGTCAAGATCAAATGAAATGGCACACTGAGTAGTCCCCAGTGTATACTGCATGCTGACTTCAGGAGAACACAGAGTGGAATAATATTCTGGTCTTTTGGAAGATTAATTCAGTAAAATAAAGTATGCTTCAGGAAGAATTAAAAAGTGCATTTTTATTGAGTAAAATTTTTCACAAGCCAAAAAATTACAATGAAACTAAGATTATTGAAGTGGCTATTAAAGTACAAAAATATGAGCAGAATTTTTTCTACTGTTCTTATCTTACATGAGTTTAAAATTTTATTTCCACCACTTACCCCTGATCACTTTGGATTGCCCCCATGACTCCAAGTACCAATGGCCAACCAGGTCCTAAGCTGTCACCCTGACTCTGTAAAATCTGTAGTACACACTCCAATTGCTTGATCCTGATATCAGGATGACTAATGTTTGACAGCTCCTTTAGTGGATTCAATAAAAGCAACTGCAGTCTCTAAAATTAAACAGTAAAGCATATTAAGGATGTTAACATTTAACTGATTCTTAACTATTTTTATGTGTAAGTGAAAACATACAGTACAAATTAAAGATTCATTGAATTAATTCAGTAGCTCAATCACTAAATGCTCAAATTCAGACCACAAAGGGTCTTTGCAGAAAATCTACGTTCCTGACTGCTGCTCTCCAGGTTCCTCAGAAAGTAGCTACAGATGCTGCTAGAGTTGCATAAAAAGTGTCCCGCAACTTTATGCTCACTCAGCAGGGTTAAACTCAGCTTCCTACTCACGAGACGTTGGAAAAAATATCCAATGAGTCTCAGTCGAAATATTAGAATGTTTTATTAACTGTGGATTGAACAGCTGTAATTTAGAAGGTTAGGCAACACGTTTTTTACCTGCCAAAGCATCACATATATAATTCTAAACATTCTGGAATTGTTTTTCATTCATGAAAGTGACTCATAATTTGTTCTAAGAAATGGACATAATATTCAAGCATCACTCTTCGTTAGGTATTCAAAAAATGAAAGAGGATAGTTTATTAGAATGCATGTGGTGGTTCACAATAGTTACATCTGAGTGTTACAGCTACAGACTTCATATACTCATTAGTAAAGTTGCTTTATGAATGAAGGAGGAAAGGATCTGCTCTTAAATTTACTTTACCTGATTTTGAGATAAAGGAGGATTATGTCTGAATGTCAGTCCTACTTTAATGAGACAAGTTAAAGCTTCTGCTCCCCATTCTCTCATTCTAGAGTTGGGATGCTGACAGACCTGAAAACACAGCAATGTTTTGTTTAAAGTAATTTTTATTTAACCAATATATATAATACATTAAAAACTGGTATTTTAATTATATTAAAATGTACATATAATAGTATAAGAATAATACAATAAATCTCAAATGATAAAATTTGGCTTCATAGTAAAAAGAGAAATGTATCTTTTGGATAGACATACCTTCTGAACAAGGAAGCAATAGGAAGCAGTGAAAGACAGAAGGAAATATAATGAATATTACATATATATGATTCAAGTAAATAAATTTTCCAAAATGAATAAACAAACTGATAATGACTGATTAAAAAACACCAAACAACACTTCAATAAATGCCTAAGACTTTCAAGTTTACCTTAACCTAAAGCTACAAAATTGGAAGTTTCACACACTTCTTAACATAGTCAAGTGAGGAACACAACAATAGGAAACACAGAAAGTGCCTTCTATACTCTCAAATACAAAAAGTAACTACATATCGAAGATAAAATAAACCTCACGCTCCATTTAAAACCTTGACAAAGCAATAGTGAGCATCTTTAAACTTGTGTTTCAAATGCATACCTTCATTTCTCTTTGTCCCTAAATTCTCTAAACCTAACAACTTTGCTAATTGCTTTCTTAGAATATAAAAATTAAAAACATTGTGTGTATTCGTTTCTTAGATAGGTAGCATGAACTGTGCTGTATCTAATACACTACCCCCAAACTAATGGGGGAAGTGTAAATTGACATTTCATTGACCACTACATAATTATTCCCACCCACACTTCCAGCCATAGCTCTGATGGTGTGAGAACCCAGAGTCAAGTCCAAAGCAGTATCATAAAGAAGACTAATGCCTTTTATTGGTAGACCATTCTTTTATCAACCACTAACCAAACTGAAAAGGAGAACAATGTAGAAGAGCTAGCTTTATGTTTAAAAATGTGGAAAAGAAACAGCCTCTCTCCTGATTTACTTATATTTTTACAACTTTATATAAAACAAAAAGAGAGAATTTGAAGTACTTCATGCTCTGATTCTGTCCAGATAAGCAGTTCCAGAACCGGGGAACAAGCTACTCCCTCAGGTTGTGTTTAATTGAATTATAGCTCATGTTTCCTCCTTCCTTATTGTACCTCAACAAGTTAGGTTTAAAAGGAAGTAAGGCAGTGCTTTGAAAGAAAATGAAAGACTCTGTATTTCCTACAAAAGTGTCAGATTATCTGCAATGCATGGGTAACAGACTGCTCCCTAGATGAAAACAGTCTCAAGATGTGGATGGTGAACCTTACAGTCTTGTAGGGCAAAAAAAGAAGAAAAAGAGATGCCTGTGCTTTAATTCTTTAAACCCAGAAGAAGAGGAGGAGAGAAAAAAAATTAAGCATTTTTTTCTTCTAGACAAAGCAATATGTGGCTTCCATAAATAGACCAATGACCAATCCTTAATATTGGTTGAAACAATGTACAGCTGTTAAAGAAGTGTCTGATACATTCTGAATTACGAGGAAGAAAATTCTTCTCCTTTACTCATTCTAAAACAAATCCTGTTCTTATATTTTATTCTCCTACATACTTGTGTGGAGAATTAAAACTATAGTTACAATCAACCACCTGTTTTTAATTTTCAATTCAAAATGTAATGTATTTTCCTTGATAAAGTATATTTTTTGTATTGAGGTTAAAATACTAAAGAAATTGCAATAGGATTATGACATTTTTACACTTGAACAGCAGTCTCTTAAAGCATTCAGAAGTTAGCTTAAATATTAAAAAAACCCCAACCAAACAACCCTTTCTTAGTAAATCTTCTGGCTTCAATTCTATCTCAGAATCTTCCTAGATATTTGTACTGTGTGATACAGTAAAACATGTTTGCACTACCTTAATTAGAACAAATACATGAAGTATAATTACTTGATCTTTCTGAACACTGCTGTGTCAAAAATATATAAAGACTGATGGCACTATAAAGACAAAGTTATCAAGAGATATTAAAATATTGTAATTCAAATATGTAAATTCACTTTTAAATTCAAACTATAATGCATTTGAATTGCAACAATAAAGCGCCTAAACCAAAATATAGAATTGCAATTTAGAATTTTTTTTTTAGATTACACATTAAAAGCATATTTCCACAAGATCTTCATTAATACAAACTAAATTCTAGTACAAGTGATAAAAGCCATTAGTTACCTCCAGAAGATGACCAGTCAGAGGTCTCCAAAGAATCTCAATCCTGCGCATGTTAACTAGTCCTGTTTCCAGTAATTTAGCGACAGCAAAAAGTGATGGTTCCTTAATAAAATGGAATTTGAACACATGACTGTGAGGTTACTGCAACAAGGCAAGAGTATTTTGCTGGGGGATAATTTCTCAGTGCAGTGCTGCAGGAGAAGCCACACGGGGTCAACAGTCTGACTAAAACCAGCACTGCTGGTGCTGTAAAAAAGCTCAGCCCTCCCTCCAAGCAGCTTTCTAACATGTTTAGCTAGCAAAACAGCCTTTATATCATTGCAACTTTTCAACTTAAAATTATATGTGAAACTATCTGGAATATTTAATTTCATAATATCCTAATTCTTTAATTTGCTTCATAAATGCTCTGCAGGAACATGGTAAGTTTTCCATTCATCAAATATATCTGCAAATATTTGTGATAAGCTTCAATTGTACTTTTTAAAAAAATCAGCATACAGTCAAAATTACTGTTGCACTGAAATCATTCTCTCTTCCCATTTCTGCTGATGTCTTACTCTAATTTTTAAACTGATTATAAACACAAACTCTACTTATTAAATGGACTCTGTTGCTGTAATAGCAAAATGTTATCAAACGTGTTCTCTGCCTTCACTATCTCCAGTGCAACAGATTAAGGATAAACTTTCAGAAACTCTCCTCGGGGGTAAGATTATGACTAGGAGAATATTTATTCAATTTTACCAAATGACAGGGTCTTCAACCTCTCTGGGTTAAAGGTTGTTTACTGAAGCCGACACAAATACTAACTATGGTTTTCCCAAGTAAATATGACTTATCAGGTTTGTAAATACCTAATTGTCAGGCTTTCTCTGAAGTACATTGTAAGAGAAAATTGAATTGAAAATTAGCATCTCACAGAACATACTGTGCTACTCAGCATCCCTAACCTCTGAAATTACAAGGGCTTTAAAAAGTTTCATCCACCCACAATCTTATTAATGGAAACTCATAACATTCCTTAACTAAAAAGCACAGGAACACAGTGAGGATGTTCACAGAATCTAGTAACTGTATGAACCATTAAAAACAAGACATTCTCTGGTTCATATTTTATTTTTTGATCTAGAGCAACAAAGGTATTACTAGTTTTAGTATTAGAAATAGTAACCTTAAAGGATAAATGTACAGGTCTTCTTCCTGTTTCATAAAAATATCTAAAAAAAACCCCCTCTTTTTATACCTTATTGTTTCCATAGGCCATATCCATGGCTTCCAGAGACAAGGAGCAAAGGGCATTTATTAAGTGATGTAAAGACACATCGTCAAGGTACCTGAAAAATAACTGCTATCAAAACATTGTCAAGTTTGATATACACATACTATTTTAATTACAAGATAAGGTTTCTTACTGTGAGTTTTCAAAAAGCTTTGAAATCATGCTGGATATAGATGGCAGATCAGTCATAACTGCTGTAGTCAGAACCTTGAAAAAAAAGACAGAAATATGTCTTACAGGTTGTAATAGAAAATACTGTACAATCATTAACCGAAAACCAATCATGCTTACTGTGCTTGGCCCTTCCACAGCTCTTCCAGGTTTTAATGCACCCCCAACACTAGGCTTCAGTCCCAGAACCCACACAAGATGCTGAAAAATACAAAAGGATAATTTTTCAGGCAGAGAAGAAATTACCATGGTACTCAAGCAAGCCACCAACCTTTCAGCCAAACAGAATACAAGATAAATGCTACAGTACTTATTGAAGGGAATTCACAGTACACCATGAGAAAACTCAAAGGTTCTTCTATTGCTCACTGACCAACTGAAAACCAAATTATAGCAAAACATCCAGGCATAACAGCAAGGCATAAATATTTCCTGTGAGGGAAATATTACCTGAAGGGTAGCCAGAACAAGTTGCCATGATGTACCAAGAACAGCTCCATGGAAGTGAGCTAAGTTGAGTAATGTCCTCATACACTGGATATTTTTTGATGTCAGCTACAGAAAAAAAGAAAAAAAACCCAATAACCAAACAGCCATCCAATTTTTATCATTCCACAATCATAGTGTTTCTAGCAAACTTCCAATTTTTATTGAAGTGCCTTAAAATTACATTTTGTTTGCACTAGTGAAATATAATTTTTTAGAGAAGTAGCTCAGTATCTCTCCTTCTTCTCTCAGGCTTATCTTGGTGAGGCTGAATATGAGTACTTGTGTGCTGCGTCCAGCTCTGAGGTCCCCAACACTGGGAGGACATTGATCTGCTGGAGGGCCACCAAGATGTTTAGAGGGGGGGGAACACCCCTCCTATAAGGAAAGGCTAAGAGAATCAGGATTGTTCAGCCCGGAAAAGAGAAGGCTTAGGGATGACCTAATGCAGCCTTCCAGTACCTGAAGGGAACTTCCAGGAAAAACAGGGCAAGCCTATTTACAAGAGCATGTAGTTACAGGACAAGAGGGAATGAGTTCAAATTAAAAGAGAACAGGTTTCAGTATTAGGAAAGAAATCTTTACTGTGAGGCTGATGAGGCACTGGAACAGGTTGCCCAGGGAAATAGTAGATGCCCCATCCCTGGCACTGTTCAAGGCCAGGTTGGATGGGGCTCTGAGCAAGCTGGTCTAGCAGAAGGTGTCCCTGCACATGGCCAGTGGGTTAGAATGAGATGATCTTTAAGGTCCTTTCCATCCCAAACCATTCTGTGATTCTATGATTTGACCACTTCCATCTCCTCCCAGTTTCACATTATTATCAGACACAAGTTCAAGTACTCCAGCTTAATTGCATCATCTCCACAAAATTAGCCTTCACACATAGGCATATAACATAGCTGAGATCTAGAGTTTTCCAAATGGAATGGAACTTCTAAGATAAAAGTCAGAAAAAGCAAGAATAAGACTCCTTTGCAATTAAGTAACTTTACTGTCCAGGGCTGTTCCAAATTAAAGCCTTAGGATAAGACTTCAGCTGACCATTATTTGTAAGAAGCTTGTGTATCTGGTTTTAAGACATGTTGAGATGCAGGAAGAAGTAGTTAAGCAAAGTAAGATCACTTACTAGTTGTACTTACCATAACTGTTCCCTGTGGCTGAAGAGCTAAGGGTTGCCCTACTGCTACAACTTGCTGGTGAGACTCACTTGAGGGACTAATCATTTGAACATTTTGTCCCTGAATGGAATATGCTGGAGGAAAATTGAAAAGAGAAGGAAAAAAAAAAATCTAAATTTAAAATGCAGTACTTACTTACAGTAAGGACCACCTTCTGGCAAACAGACTCCAGAAAAGTTTTTTACTGTTGTTTAGCTTTAACACACCTCACTTTGAGACTTTTAGTTATATTTAGATTACAGTGTCATTGCCCTAGAGAGTTAAAGATCCAACAATTACTCCCTGTTTCTAACTATTAAACATTGCTTGCAATACATTGATATATTTTATGTCAAGACTGAAATATTTATGATTAAGATACGAGTATTAGACTGTCAACTCAGTTTTTGGTAGTAGTTGTGCATAAATAGTATCACTGTGTGCTACCATTGTACCAGTGCACTCAGAAAATGAGGGTGTCATCAATGCTATATGACGATATTTTTCCAATATGGGACTTCAGGACATCCATTTTATAACTCACTTGTAAAAAGAAGAGCAACCTATATAAAATAACTGCGGTTCCCCGCTTTGTTTCTATAGATATCTGTGTTTTTCAGTCATGTGTACTTCTTCACAGACTTACAATCTAATAATACACTTATCTGGTACACTGAACTGAAGTAAGGGTGATGGTCCTTGTTCCCACAGTAAAATATTTTTGTTTTATATTAAGAGCTCTAATGCTAGATTCATCTGTATTTTCTTCAGGTAGTTGTTTTTCTTAGTAAATAGTAATTCACTTTCGAAGTTAGAAACAGAGTATATCCTAAACCAGCATATATTATGAATTACATAAGATGTGGGACACATCAATTCAGCTTTTTGTAGGCTGAATAGAGCCCAGAACTTAGATCTTCCACGTACGCATAAGTATTACCACCACTAGACAATTGTAGAAAGAACTGCAGTACATCACAAATGCAGGATGTTCTAGCCAAAGCTTTAGAATCCAAGTTATCTAGAGATCTTTTCAGATTTTGAATGCCTTAATTACATATCCTTGCAGATCTTTACAACGGTAGACAGATCTCCCTAGAATCTGAACTTCTGACATATGTGACTCATTCAGGAAATTCTAGGTTAATCACAATGATAGTCAGCAAATGCTGCAAGTTCTGGAAAGCAGGTGACCTAGGTGCTGTCTGAGAATTCTAACATATTTTAATACAGCCAAATACTACAGCTGCTCGTCTTTGGAATCACAACCTGAAAAAATTTGGGTTTAGAGGACAATACAAAGACACACAATTAAGAAAAATGTATATGTTTACATTTGCTGGACAGAGCTGCAGTTGGGCTGTTTAATACAGTAAGGGCATAGTGAGGAGGCAAGGATCCTTTGCAAATGGCAGTGATAAAGGCATCTCTTGATGTTACAAGACCCAGTCTTCCACAAAGTGCAGCCATGGTCAATTCTGCTTTTAGAATGTTTTCAGTGGCAGCTTCATCAGTGCTGGAAAAGTACACATTGTTGAGCAAGAATTAATACAGAGCACAGAAGCAGGCAGCTAACTAAAACTGAAACCCATAAGAACATATACTTTAAACCCATTAAGACTATAAATATTGAAGAACAAGCATAACTAATCGACAAAATTCTTCAGAACCACTTCCTACAAAATTGGCCTTTACTTCTCAGTGACTTGGTAAATGAGACTATGAGAAGATATTTAAAACTAATTTCAGTAAATGGTGCTTGATTATAGAAAGCTCTTTGAAGGTGTCAATTTACCCCAGACACTTCCTAGTAAAAAGCTTTTCCAGTTTAACGATTAGATAGTACTAACAAGTACCAAGACATTACTTAGTCCCTTACTTGCAGTAATCAGGACATGGAATTACTTCAATATGTTGAAACATGCAAGCAAAGTAAAAAGAAATAAAGATATATTAAATACTTTAAATGCAACCGTTTGAAAATGCAATTAATTGTTCTGTATTGAAATACATTAAAAGTTGATGTTGGACTTCTGGAGACTTCTGTGCCGTTTACACATTCAGTCTAAGCTACAAACCTGACTGCTCAGGTGCCATGAACAACACCTGCATTGAAAACTGTCAATTTGACTGCTATCAAAAGTCAGTTCAAAATATAGCTTGGAATATCAACTTAGAAAAACAAGGGGAAATGAAAGACCAGATACCTTGCATCAAGTAGGAGGGACAGAGCAGCCAGAAGACCACACCAACAAGCGTTCACCATTTCTTCCCAGACAGCTCTGTTACCTTAAAAGAAATATATTAACTTTTTTTATAGCAGAAACACAGTAGTTCCCTTAATAATTTTCAATTGTATCATTAAAAAAATGCTTGTTACTGCATCTTCTGAAGTGTTTTTGTATGTATATTTACACAGATGTTTATGTGCATACAGAAAGACACTCATACCAGTACTATTTCAATAGCTTGCATTTAAAGTAACATCTCTGAGGTAAAAAAAAAAGTCACCAGGCAATGCTTTTTCTAAATAGCATCAAAAAACCCCACCAAAATCCAACTTATCACAGTATATGTAATAATTTTTCATCTTTGTCTATAAAAATAAACATTCAGAAGTGCAAAAATATGGGATAAGAAACTCACTGAAATTTTGCAGTGAAGTAAAAATTCTCTCCTGTGGTATCTATAATTTGTTTCGTTCATTTAATAGGGAAAAAGATATTGGTCTAGCAAACGGGTATCTGCCCAGCCCATTTGCACACCTCCCTCTCTTCCAGGGGCCACGCCAAACCCCGGGGTGGAGCCGGCGCTCCAGAGCACCACGGAGAGCTCCCCGCTCCCGACACAGTGCCTGGGACGAAGCCCTCTGCTCCCCTGCTGTCCTTTCAGCAGCCCCGGTGCCAAGGCTCAACTTCAGCTGTACTGCCTTGGCTTCCTGGGGCACGAGTCAAACTCACTGTTCAAATAGAAGTCTTTCTGTACATACAGACCCCTATGTATGTAGACCCCAGACTCATCATATGTTCCACAAAGGCAATCCCCACTTCACAGCAGTTCTGCTTTTAAAGAAGTCCTGCTCTATATACTGCAATCTTACTAAGAATTCCTCCCTTAAAACATTATTTTTATCTTCCTACTAGAAATATATTTTTCTTTTAACATGATCATAACTCCATTTCTGTCAGTCTCTTGTGACCTGAGATCTCAGTGTTCAGCCAAAAGCAGAACACCAAGTCAAGTATTTTTTTAAAATGAAACTGCTATTCCATTAAAAAAAAACCACGCTTCATTGAAAGTTTTGATATATAAATAAGAAACAATAAATTTAAGCAAAAAAAGCATGACATTTTATAATCTGCTTTCCATAAAACTGTTGTATTTCATACAGTGTTTGCATTTGCAAATACCTAGTTCTTTCTCTGATTGGTCAGAAACAGACTGCAAATCTTGCTCTGAAGACTGTGCTGGTAATGAAGTTGCCTCTGTTGAGGTTTGAATGACAGTTTCTGCCTCTCCCAACTCTCCTTCGATCATGGTAGTGATACCACGGACAAGATCCAGCAAACAGTGAAATGCCACTGACATTGCATAGCCTTCAGGAATTGTAGGTGGCTCGACTTTGTCCAGCATCTCCAAACTAAAAAATTGAAAACATGACAAGTGTGCAGCAATACCACTGTTTTTAGAAACAATAATAAAAAACAAGATTACAAATGAATGTTAAGTACAAACAGGCCCCAAATACAATCCTTCAAGATTTTCTGCAACTCAAGAAAAAAATCTTTAAGCCATTAAGTAAAAGAGTAAATGAATCACTAAATATGATAGCAACCAAACGGGTATAAACCCTGAGTACAGATCTGCAAAAAATATTTCTAAAAACTAACACATATAAGGAAGCATCATGAATAATTCTACTTGCATTATTATTTTACTTAGTCACTGCAACTGAACTATTCAGAAGAATCCAAGTATCTAGGAACAACAGAGGAAATATATCAGTAAGTCATGACAATGTGAACATAGTTACAGCAAACTGAGGACAAGTCAGACATTCTATTATCATTATCTCTGAGTCCAAATGACTAGAAAAGCCTGTCCATAGCTAGATATTACATGGCCAAATATTCATCACCTACATGCATAAGTAAACAATGGAAGTTATTTGTAAAAAGAAGATATGTCTACATGATTCACCACTGAAAAGCATTCAATTAAAACATCACTATACTGGAACAGCAGCCTCATTGCCTCTTTTCTCCATCTTTTACTTTAAAAGCACATAAAGAACTGCTGAGTTACAAATCCAACAGAAATTGTAGCTGACACAGCAGCAGCATCTATACAAGTAGATACAGTCTGTTATAAAAACTACCTGCTATCACAACAATCATTCTTTCATTTCTTCCTATATAAACTACTCTTAAAAGAGCTACATACTCCAGCTAAAATATACCAAAGATACTTTTGTGCTCCAGTGTCACCACTCTTGACTGCATAAAGGATTTTTCCTTCTCCCAAACACACAACACTTCAATCTTTACCTCTAATTTCCTGAAGATAGCTGCCTCAAATATTTGGGAGAGCAGAAACTACAGCTTAATCAAGTGGTCAGCATTTCAGCCTCCATATACAAGTAAGTGCAAATATATATACAGGTCTAATTAAAATTAAGAGTGGGTTTTATAGTTACAATATATTTGGGAGGTAGAGGTCACATCCTTTTACTTTTGAAGACAGAAAATGCTAACTACTGAATCAATTATCTAAGTTGTTACTGTTACATGGCAATGGCCATGGAAGATCTTGAAGAGTTTGTCTATTCCTCTTAAAAACATTTAGTTCCTAAAGTAAAGTGGAAGACAAGGCATAGTTGTCTGTGGAGAAACTTGTATAAAAGTATGAGATGTGGCCATATTTGAAAATCTAATGGCAGTAGAAGAGAATTGGTGCTAGGACGTGACACATTACAGCAAGTCATCTCCTTACATACAGGGACTACAGACGAAAGTAAAGGATAGGAGAAAAAAACTGCTGTGAAATTCTTGTGACACCTCTGTAACTTATATAAAAGAAAAAAATGCAAAGATTATGCAGAGAAAATCATAGAGTAACTTGAGGTAAAACACAAGCAAGTTTAGAGCAGGACAGGAGACACTGATGGTGGCTGCAAGGTTCTAAAGCCAGTTAAGAACAGATAGTAAGAAAAAAGAAAAGGAAGAAAAGTAGAGGTTGCAGCATGTTGGATCTCAAGAATCTGAAGTTTTTGAGCTTTCTGTGCTTCCTGGCACAGACCCCCTTGAAAACACTGCACTGGACCTGAAACCTTGGAGAAGATTTGTAAATATGAATAATAAGTTAGAAATCACAAATGTATAGTGGGTTAGATGTGTGTGTTTTCACTGGGTGATGGGTTTTAAATTTGAGGTTTTTACAGTACAGTGGTAGTTAGGGGACAAGATGGAGAATTTTGGGTGGTGTCTTTTCTTCTTTGGATTGGTCAGTCTAAAGTCACTCTAAGGGTCATGGGAATCTATTACTGGGTCAAAAGAATAAATAATATAGGTGTTAAACTTTAACTGGTCTGTTTAGCTTTAAAAGGCTTTGAAACAGGCTCAGCTAAGAGCCATTGTTCCTACTTCTAGCAAGCAGCTAGAGGTACTGTTGTACTTTCTGTAAATTTTGATAAGATATAATAAACATCCAAGTCTGAATATGAGAAACTGTCTCGATCGCCTTTCTAATAATCCTGGCTCCGAACAGAAACAGACGAGATTGATGACAAACCACTAATTAGTGGTGCAAAGCCTAGCTCACTCCTACAGTAGTAGCTGGCCAAATTAAAAATTTGTATTCCCTGAGAACAGGCAGGTAAAATAAATCAACATTCATGTCCACTGCTGGAATAAAATATACACATTAACTATTGAAATCTGACGATGATTATTTTTCTTCTGCATCTCAAAGGCTCCTACCCTAAAAATATTGAGATTCAGGCTATTTGCAGATTTCACTGAATTTTAGTAAGACAAAATTTCATGGTAGTACAAATAACTTCAGGTTTGGAAGTGCTCAATGGCCATGACTGACATGAAAAAACTGCACTATTTCCAAAGTAACATAGTGTGTTGTCTTGGGGTGACTGTATGATGCCTATATCCCCAAATCGTCTGTTCTGTTGGTGTTGAATATTAAATTCTGCAACTTTAAGATTGGTTCCAGGAGTGGAGGTGGGGAAAGAAGAAGTGCAGAGTTTGTTCTCAGAGATTGCACTGGCTGCTCCGCATTCCTGCACACTGACTGTGTTGTCTGTGATGGACAGAGAGAGAGAGAGAGCTCTCCTTTGCTCTTGGTTAGTTTTCTGGCTAGCTGAGGCAGAGAAGCCCCCTGGATTGTTTTTTTTTCCTTTTTTCTGTTTTCCTGGAACTGTCTGAACCTGCTGTGGACTGAAAACCCAGAAGAGCACCAGGAGCTCACACCTGTGGCCCAGCAGGCCTGGCCTGGGCCGCGGCATTCCCCAGCACAGGAGGGACTGAGAACAGACTGAGTGAGCCGGGCAGCCACGGAAAGAACTCTTCTAAATCTGCCATCTCCTTGGAACGGCGAGAGGTTTTGCTGTTTGATATTGTTCATTGTTGTGCTGGGAGGTGTTTTGCCTGTTGAATAAACAGTTTTCTTTTTTTTTTCCACTTCTCTCCAATTTTTTTTCGTTCTCTTTTTTTCCCCTGAGCCGACTGGGGGAGGGACTGCTTGGAATCTTTTTTCTTTTTTTTTCCCTGGAGGGACCACATTCAGAGGTTTCCTCCCAAATTTGTCCTTAACCAGGGCAGCTTTAAACTGAGAACACCATCTCCATTGTACAAAGTCATGACAAAATAATTTGCCATTTTAAGGAGCATTCAGAATTTTGCCTTGGTATATAGGACAATATACTGTTTGAAATGACAACCAGACCAGTATCTACCACAATATCCTGATGAATAAAAATTGTAAATACAGTAAAGCTGGTGTGAGAAAGCTATATTTACATTCCCACTGATGTCCTATTTGCTTAATGCCCTTCATGTTTGCCATTACAAAATGCAACAACAGGTATTCCAAAATGGTTCTATACTACAGAGAGGCCTAAAAGTGAAAAGTTAATAAGATAATATGATAGGATAACAAAATCTAACTGATGCTAAAACCATAGGGGACATTCCAATCAGAATCCAAGTCATGCAGAAAAAACATCAAAAAGAACAGAAAACCTCATGGCACCAACAAAGAGAAAATTCCTAAGAAACTTCAACGCCAGTGAAACAAAAACTTCAATATTCACTAGTAAAAAAAAAATCTTTACATCATCAAATTCAAAATAAAAATACTTGTTATATACATTTTCAAAAAGAGAGAGGTACTCACTACGTAGCTTTAGCACTGCCTTGTACTGTTATATTCAGGATGGGTATCCAAGTGCCTCTGTACTCAAAAGCAGGTAATACAGTTGCACCTCCACCCATTCCAAGCACTCCTGAGTTAGCTTGTGCTGAGCCAGTATTCCCTGATGCATTGCTTCCTGTTCACAAAAACAAAGTGATAAAATCAACCAATCTCATATTTGTGATCAGCAAACATCTTTTTTCTACATTTAAATTTTGAGACACCAGGATTACTCTGAAGACACACAGTTCAACAACAAAAATCAACAATAACATAAACTATTTCTGAGCTCCCTCTGCTGTCTAAAATATAATTTTATGTGTAGCTCATTGACGCCAGCTGCCTAATTTCCAGTCAGAATGCAATGTTTCTGTGAAAGGTACGGCAACGTTCATAACATTCTGTAAATGAATTAAACTTACACAGTCTTGATGAAACAATGTATGTTGTACAGTCAGACAGATACTTGAAAGTTAAGGATTATTTTCATAGTTATATCAAGAACTCAGTAGCTAGAAAGTGTAATTATTTCAATAACAAACTTCCAGGATTTCAGAAATGCAAAAATCACAAGAAAAGAATCAAAGACAATGGCAACATTTGAATCCGTTCCATGCCAAGGTAGAATAAAACAAGCCCCATCAGGGAAGAGGTGACAGAATGCCAATCAACAGCTAGGAAGGGACAAATTTTGGCTCCAACTAAGGAAGCCAAAAAAAGCAGCTAAAATAACAAGGAATACTGTATATATACACATAGAGAAGGACATCTTCACTTACTAAGAATAGGTCCCACAGGTTCAGATTCTCTCTGAAGAGACAATGGGGAGAGGGAACAGAGTCCCCAGGATGGCGACTCACAGTGTAACTGCCATTTTGGTGTGCTTGCTTTTAATATGTGGAGCGTAAGCTACTAATTTAGGCAGTACACTACTAATTTAGGCAATATGAATACACAAAAGCTTAAATACATACACTTTAACACAGTAACACTTAACAGACTGAAACAAAAAAAATCATGCTGCTAAACAAATGGTTAACCAAACACTGGCACTAACACAGTTACACTGGTATCATTTTCTATGATCCCACTGTGCAGTCAGACATATGCAAGTATTTCTGTATTAATCTAACTCATTAAAGTGGGTGGTAAACATTACCCAGTAAAATAAACGTGACACAGAACTTCACTAGATGCAGCTTCCAACTGCTATGAAACAGGTAGCCTGTTGCAAGACTGAGGCTCCAAAATGAGGTGTATAGGGAGAGTAAATGTCCAAAGCCAGGCTGAATAAGGCTTCGAGCAACCTAGTCTGTTGGAAGGTGTCCCTGCCCATGGCCAGGGGACTGGAACTAGATCATCTTGAAGGTCTCTTCCAACATAAGCCATTCTATGACTCCAAAAGACAGCATGTTATGAGAGGACTGCTGTTATAATCAGAAAATTTATTTTGAGAATTATATTGCACTGATCTGCTCTTTGCATGTCAAATATGGCCATAGGAGGAAAAAAGGTAGAAAAAGAAATGCATGAGAAAGTGGCATGAGAAACACTCAGACAGAAAGAAGTGAAAAGGAAAAACAAACTGAAATAATTACCCAGAGAAACAGCAACAGCACTAGAGGTATGACTCTACTCCAGAGCTGTTTCACTTGAGGCAAAACTTAGGTTTTCAGAATGAGTATTATAGAATGGCTTCTCATATGCATGTTACATGGTGAAAAGTGTTCTTCTGATTTACTTTAAGATAATTAAGCTAACCTAGAAATGCTACTAATAGAAATTTCTATCAGTTGCTGTACAGACAGCTACTGAACAACAGACACTGACACAAATTTCGTCACGCTATCACTGTTAAATCCAGCATGGGATTCCAGTTTAATGAGTGAACACTGAAAGATGTGAGTCTCAACCCAAACTTTTCAATGTTTCTTAATTTAATAGTACACATGATAGACAATAATTACACTTGTTATTTGGTTTTTACCTCTTTTAAGAAGGCATATAAAAAGACACCCTTAAAAATTATTTTTATGTTGTTTGTTGCTGAGGACTCTGCTTCCAGAACTATAGGAAGAAGCAGAGAGCCTTAACTTGAGACTTAAACACCTACAAGGGCATTAACAGGATGATCATTCTTATTAAAATACAAATTACCTAGTGAAATGCCAAAACCCTGGCTGCAAGAAAAGACAATCAAGTTTAGTTTCAACATGCATCTGATTTCAGCTTACAAAGACAGATCATTTGTAAAACACACATCTTTCATTCTGCCTCCCCACAAACACACGCTGTCTTACCACTCAAAATGCGCACTGCCATAAATGACATCCCTGCACAAGGAGACACATTTTTATAGTCAGAAATTAGAAAGAACTACATCAGAATTTCCCTCTGAAAAGTTGTGAAACAAGGAGCTTGGTCAATGCAGAAACAGAAACCAAGGCAGGAGCACGGCTCTGATGACTGGGGTCTACGCCTTCCCCACATTACAGGTAGATAAAAATCAATCCCCTGCTACACCAGAGCTGAGAACACTAGTTAGTCTCAAGCTAGCTTTTCACCAAAATAAACACAGAAGTACAGAGCTGTACTAGAGCTGAATCAAAACAGAATTAATTACTACAAAAAAAAGATGGAAAAATAAAATTATAATAAGGACAAAGCTTTACCAGTTTGGTTTGGTGCTGCTGATGTGTTTCCTGTGCTTGGTACAAGAAATAGAGACTGGATAAAGGACCCCAGTGCATTCACAATATCACGGAAAACTTTAGTGGAATGTTGTTTCATATCATATGACTGACAAAAACACCTGGAAGGTATTTTATAAAACAAAAAGCATTTGACGAATTTGGGACTAAAAGAATATTTTTAACAGCAACTTCACCCCCACACATACTCCGAACTGTAGACTAAAAGCACATTTTAACAGCAAATATCTAGGTAAACAATAATATTTAATTTTAGGTAAATGTTCCTTTGACACTGCTAAGACACAGACATACTCAAATAATAATTAAGCCATTCCTGCATAATAAGCATTGTCTAATGCATTACACAGAATTATCACAAAGAGCTTATTGCATTTAAGTTTCTATACATTTGCAATCTTTTTGGAAGCATTTTCCATTAGAGAAAAAAAATAACAATGTATCTTGAATTTTATGTAAAAGCAAAAGCCAATATATTAAATACCTTAATAGTTGAGGCTGCACACAAAGCCTGTGAATAGATTCTACTGCAACAGCTCGTAGCCACTGTGGTTTGTCTGCATCCAGAAACTTAACCAGCAACGACAGAAATATTTCACATTCTGTTACCTAAAATATACAGTTTATAATAATTAATAAAAAGAAAAACCTCCTACAAAATACTTTCTCTCAAAAACGTTCATCTTGGGAGTCGTATCACAGCAAGTTTTGTACAGAATCTAAAAAAAAATCCCTGGAATGAGTATTTACTCAGAATTATGCAAAAACATAACATTTCTGACAAGCCAAAATCACATATGCTAAAATCACATATCACAATTGTACTGAAGGAGTTAAATTCCTCAGAGACATTGCAATAAAAGTCATACACTGGCTACAGAAGACAAATGAAAATTATATCTTTTAGCAAATACCCAAAACTCAGTACATAAGAACAGCTGAACATGTGGTTTTTACCCACAATCTGTCAACAGCTTTAGCAACTCAAGTCAAAAGCCTCTTAAAAAGTATAAACAAGGCACAGTAATCATCATTATCTAAAGTGAGGCAAATAACAGAAGATCAAAAGGTTCCCAAAACCTGAAAGGCAGTTAAATCAGTTAAAGAGAGAAAAGACAACAGCTAATCTACTGTGAAATTCATGCAAGTCCATATTTGACAAAACTGCACATTTAGAATACATGCAAACAGAAATAAATATAAGAGGAAAATAGTATTTAGCCTTCTCTTCCCTCAGTAGACATCAACAATTTCCAAGAACTAATCAATATTACTACTGATCACATCACTGGCATATACAATGAAAAACAAAATTGCATAAAGAAAATTTGAGCATATTCTTACCAGCAAACTGTAAAACTGCTTAATCAAAACAGAAACTACTCGCAGTAAACGCATACAGATGGGAAAGTATGGTTTTTCCACTGGTGCCGGGGAAGATGAGGTGGTGGAACCTTGCCTGAATTTGATATTTGGGGAGAAGAGCTTTATAACAAGAGGGCATACCCTTTCTTTAAGAAGAAAACTGAATTCCTGATGCTGAAAAAGAAAACAGAAAAATTTATATGCAGATATTCCTTAATTGCTACCAGTAGCTCTGATTATGCATCTTATTTGCACTTGTAGCAAGCCAGAAATAATGTAAATCTTGGTATAAATTACAATCAGGAAATGAAAAGGCAGAACTGCAGACACCATTGAAAAGCTCCCAAAAAGCAGAAAATACAACGGTCAGGTTCATGCCATGCACTCTTGTATTTTGCAAGTTGAAATAGGCTGCTAATATACCACTTATATATTTATAAGTTCCTCAATTTACCTACTGTCCGCTAGTAAAACACATTACTACAGGATCACAGTGTATTTATATGCAGTAGATATATGCAATTCACAGTCTTGAGTCTTACTTTACAAAGTGGGGTGAGGTTAATATTTTTGTTGAATTAACAATTCCACAAATTTAGTTACAGAGCTGTCATAAATCAGGCAAGATAAAAAAATGCATCTCTGGAGGAGATATAAAAAGCAAAACCAAAAGTGAAACAGAGTAAAATGAACAGCTCTACAAAATGCATAAACATAAATAAAATATAAAGTGTTTGGGAATAGAAAAACACTCAAAAAGCCCAGGGAACTTTTCTGTTAACCCCCCACTCCACTCCAATATGTAAAAGCTACAAGTCCTTCAGGAAAACAATATTCATATTAAATTTCAGAGGATTTAATGAAGTGTAGATTCTACTACCTATGTGAGTAAAAGTCTTCCTGTTTTCCGTCCAAGAACTACTCACTTGTAAAAACACTTGTGGAAAGTCATTGAGGACCGACTCAAGAAGTTCAAGGCCAAATGTCCGCGTCATTTCTGTCATACCCACGAGCCAGTAAGGAGCATCAGCATTAACTAACTGACAAAGATCCTTAGGAAATAAACACAGTAACATTGACATTCTCTGTACAGTCCAGTACCAAGAAAGTTTCCCAAGTATATAATGAAATCTACACGCTCTCCTCTTTTGTGAGTAATTTTCTGATTTCAATATAATTTTTCGTTAAATACTTTTCAAACATAAATTAAAAAGCATAGGAAATGTTTAAGAGAAATTTTAAACTTTGCTGGTATCCTTGTAGCATGTGTGTTCATTCCTACCTTCAAAAATATCTCAAGACCAGTGAATTTGCTAAGTCAAGAAGATTTTTATTGGTCTGATGAATGCAACTACTCCTTTTCATTACATACTTGCCTTTAACGTCTAATACCAACCACAAGAAATAGGACTGAACTACAGCTGCAGCGTTTTGTGCTGTATTGGGTCTGGCTGAGATGGAGTTAATCTTCCCCACTGCAGCCACAGTGCTGAGTTTTGCATTGGTAGCTAGAAAGGTGCTGACAGCACATCAGTGTTTTGGCTACTGGCACATTTGGCTAATAACACTAGCACAGCCTCAATGCTGTCTCTCAAGATTTCCCCCCACTGCCACCAAGAGGCTGGGGAAGATCCTGGGAGGAGGACACAAAAAAATGTCAAAAAATGTAATCCCAAATTAACCAAAGAGATATTCCATACCTCAGTTATAAAACCTAAGAAATGGAAGAGGAAGGGAGCCATGCATTCGTTATCTACAATATTTGCCTTTGGTAGCAACCATCATGCATTCTGAAGCTCTGCTTCTCAGGAAGTGGCTGAACATTGCTTGCTCATGCACAAGAAAACTTTTGCTTTTACTTTAGTAAACTGCCTTATATCAAGCTATGAATTGCTTTCTATGTTATTTTCTCTCCCCATCCCAATCATTTAGGGACTGGTAGAGCAGCTTGGTGGACACTTGAGAGTACAGCCATGGTAAACCTACCACAGGCTCACAGAAATAAGAACTTGAACTTAATGCAGACACATATGCCTAGCTATTGTTTAAGACTTAGAGTGAAACATTTTCCAAGGCCACTCTGTCTCCGTTTTCCCATCATTCCCCTGTAATACAGCATATCATCAACAATTAGAATAAACAGCATAAGAAAGCCCAAGGCTCTGGTTAAGGACATTGCAAATAACGCCAACAGCAAATTCTTGAAATTTCTTGAAGAGATGTAGAAGCACCCCATTGTAACTGCAAATATATATGTTCCCCAACTACCTGAAAAAGCATATATGCATCCTTAGCACATGGCTTCAGTGTGCTGACAGATCTTCTGTTACTATTCCCTTGAACTGCAGCTGGCTGGTCAACAGCATCTGTGCAAAAAACATAAAACAAAGTTTTGTGAACAAAGAAACTGTTAAAAATCAAGTACGCGTTAAGTGTTCTTACAAGAATATCCTATGAGAATGGCCAAGTAATTCTTCTGCAACTTATCATGTCTATAGAAACAAACATTAGATTGACTACCAAAAATCATCAATACCAAGCACTACTTTCCAACATTCTCTTCAAAACTCCTACTGCCGTGTATTTCCCACTCAGTAATCTATGGTACCTGCACCATAAATGACACCCTCACCTCAAATCCCTTTACAGTACTAACCTGAAGACCAGTTCTCACAGCTTGAAAAAAAAAATCTAGGTTTTATATACTGCTGCACTGAATTGGACTGACACAATGGCAAAGGACTTCATCTCCTTTAAATACAAGTAAGTGTCTAAAAGACAGTTAAAATTAACATCTGTGACTTTTTTATAACATCTACAGACATCTTACTACTTCTTTATCTGAAAGAGAAGTCTGATATGTGTCAAAAAAGCAGGTAATTAAAAACAAGCTGAGTAAGCAGTATGTTCACCTTTATATCGTTCATCTTCAGCAACTACTCTCTCAAACACGACAGTAACTACCTGCCGAACTGTAGCTGCTGCAGTGTTATTTGTGATATTATCTTTTGTGAAGTGCAATCGAAAGCAAAGTACAATTGCCTGAAAGGGAAAAAAAACAGAAAAAATATTACCTTACAACAATACATTTCATCTTTTAGCTAAGAGTCAAGAAGGTTGATAGATGGAAGAATGCTTTCTTCTGCAGTTTGTCAAAAGGTTGTCCAAAAAAAAAAATTAAAATTTGAAGAACCAGAATACACTTTATGGATTATCCTAGCCAAAAAGCTCTTTAGTAATCCTTCCAAAAGGCAATCAAAAAGTGGGATTAACTGAACACATTATAATGTGCCGATAAAATTGCAATCATACAGAATACACAGTAATCATTAGACAGAACAACTTGTATGAATATTAATGTTGAAAGGACATTAGGATGTAAGGTTAATCACAGAAAGCTAAAATGTCATTCCTCTCCTACAATGAATCATAATACTTTCACAATCATATTGCCTTGACTGCTATTATTCCTAAGATGTGCATTTCAAAGTGGCATTGTGCTGGCAATGACCTGAATACTTTTTCCCACTGGATTCCCATTTCCATTATTACTCTAACTCATAGTTTAATACTTACCTGTTTTATAATGAATTTTCAAAATTAACATCTGTATGCGTAGTGAAACCTGTGTTTCTTGTTCTTCTTCATATACTGCATTCCTATACTTTCAAGAACCTCAACCACACCCGGCCATAGTGCTACATGCTTTGAGCCATAAAAGATTCAGAATTTTCTTCTGCCTCTTTTTCAAGTCTATGATTTGTGGACTCTACACAGACGATATTGCTACATTAGTTTAAAATCCTACATTAGCTTGACTGAAACACAAACATGCAATGCATGTCTGGCTGAAACCAATTTTCTACAATGTAATCTAGAAGAGAAACTTACTAAGCAGTTTCATAATTCACAGATGAGTAAACAACGTTGCTTCTTCAAAGAGAAGTATCTCATAATTTAGATTAAAAGGACTGGCTCCAAACTTTTTGTTTTAGTTGAAACATAATATCCAAGATGCTTCATGTTTAAAACTATGACCCAAAGTTAGTACAGAAAGAGCAATTGTAACTGCACTGTTTTCAAAGGAGATTTAAGTGAGGGGGGAAGGCAGCTTCTTTTAACGTTTTCTCCATTAGTGAGAGTTTACACTGTGCTGTATGTTCTGATTCCAGTTCAAAAACACAAAACAAATTTAACAGATGAGGATAGGCATTAGCTCAGTTTTTATTTCAACTTCCTATTAAGTCCGAAATGTATTATAGTGAAGGAATTACAAAACATATGGAAAAGGAAGCTAAAAGAAATCCTGTTCTCAGAGTCTAATCATAAAGACAATAGGGACACAATAGAATCAAGAAAGCCCCTTCCTCGTTCATTGTTTTCACATGCTTCATATGTAAAATTTCCCCATTTTCTCTCTTGGATATTTTAAATTCTATAGTTGACACCAACAAATTCTTACCTTGGACAGCGCTTCATCATGCACAACTGTATTGGTTGTTAAAAGTACAAGAACTGTCTGGAGCAATTTAAGTTCTTCGAGACTGTTCTCCATTAATTGCCAAAGCATATTAATTATGTTTCCTGCTGCAGCCTAAAAAGAAGTAATTTTTTGTCATCTATTACAATATTTATGTACTGGTATATCCTGTACATATGTAAGAATATCACTGTCATAAAGGCATATCATAAATAAATGCGTCTATTTGTCTATACCATAGGACTACATTGAGAATATAAAGCAAATTTCATTGTCACAAGCTTCCTGAAGTATTTTTAAAGAGCTGACAACAGAAATGTCTTAATATACAGTACAAATTAAAGCCTGTACTTAATTTTCTACTTGGAAATATGGAAGACAGAGTAAAAAGATATTTTTCCCTCAGAATTCACTCATTTCAGAGAGAAAACAGTGTAATTTTACACTACACAAGCACAACTGAAGGTGTATTTTAACAGCATTATTTGCATCAGCTTCCTAACACTATATATGCAGTACATAATGTATCATGGCATTCATTGCTGCAGAAAATGTGCATCCATTACACATTATTTAAAAAAAAAATTTAACAAAAGCACAATAATATTATTGCACAGAGTACATTGTGTAGATGCACAAGGTTCATTATATGCACAATTCTTGCAGTGTAAGAATGTGAACTTGTTGGGGGTTGTTTTTTTTTTTCTTTTTTTCTCTCTGTGGAATTTTCCCCATTGTAATGCTAAGAATTTGTTGGCTACACACTAGCACGGATCGCTAGTAACAGTTTCTATCGAAGGGGGTGGAGGGGGGAGAAGCAGAACACCGCAAGATCAGGTGGGGGCAGGAAAAGGAGAGGTGGAGGCAGCTGCGCTCTCTCTCTCTCTCTCTCTCACTTGTTTAGCTCGGAGAAGAACGGTCGCTGGAAAAACCTCACCCTGCCATCCCAACGCTGGGAGCTGCCTTCCTTGGCTGTGGGACCCCACACCCCTCTGCTCGGATGTCCTCCCGCTTCAGCTTGCCACCTCTATGCATCCTGTTGGAGCATCGGGACAGATGCCCCAGGATCCGTGAGCACTATCTCTCCTCTGCCTTTCCCATCTGGCAGATGCCATCACCCCCAGCACCCCTCCAGCCACGTGGGATCATCGTACCTCCCCCCTGCTCAACCGGGAGCCGGCTGGAACTGCCTGCCAGCTGGGACGGTAACTGCACGACAGGGGAAGGGTATCCACGACCGAAAGAACTGTTGCTGGGTTCCTGCTCTGTTTGTTGTTACTTTTGTAGTTGTTGTTGTTTTTATTTACCTTGTTATATATATATCTATCAGTAAAGAACTGTTGTTCCTACCCCCGTATCTTTGCCTGAGAGTCTCTTAATTTCAAAATTATAATAAATTGGAGGGAGGGGGTGCTTCTCAGCAGATACCTGTCTTTCAAAACCAAGACAGAACTAAATGAGTTGGTTTCAATTTCCATGGATTTCCTTCTAGAGGAAACTAATACTGCCTCACCTCTTTTTTATGGTGTAAAAGGTTTTCTTTTAAATTACTGAAAAACAACTATGAGTAAAATATTTTGTGGACTATGTTCATTATAATATAAAGAGCCTCTTAAAACAAGTCATTCACCTTCCACTTGAGGTCTGAAATATTTATGTTTCTGTATAAAGATCGATCTTACCTCTGAAACAACTTCATGAGACATAAGCCTCTGTATGGCTGCTAGACATAGCTGAGTGATCTTTGGTTCTTTTGTTCCACAACCCATCAGAAAAGGTTGAACCACCTCTGAGCTGTTCTCTTTCAATGCTTTCAAAGAGAAATATGGCAGCAGTCAATGTTTAATACTTTGAAAAATACAGCACAAAAACTGTTAATCACACCTATTAACAAAAAGCAATCTCCAGTCTTAGAAATTTGGGATTTACATGTGGACCACAGGGAAAAGCCAAGTGAAGACAGACACTGGGCTGACACAGCTCACTTCCATAATCACCCTGGCCAAGGCTCAAATTCCAGGCACCCTCTCCCTTACACACTCAATTGACTTTCCAAATCCAAAACATCCACTTAAGAGCCCATGTGGTTAGCAAGGTGGTGTGTAAGGTTCTGCCAACTCCAGAGGTTTCCCTGGCCTTGCCACAGGAACCAGTCTCAGTCTGGTAGCACTGTCCTTCTGCTCTGCTTCACCTCAGCACCTAATGCGGGAGCAACACAGTGTGGCACAGAGCAATATTCCAAAGCACAGGACAGGAAGTGAAAGAGCAAACTGCCACTGGCAAAACAGGAAGAAAAAGAGACTAGACTGACAAAACAAGAGGAGAGAGACCGGACTGTTTGTATCCTGGATACATTCACCTGGCTGTGATTTTGCCAAATGGTGTTTTAGTGACAAAGGGTAGCTTCTTAAAATGGATTTTGTCAGGAGAAAACCAGTTACCATAAGCTGTCTCTCCCCCCCGCTTCTTTTTTTTGTTAAGGAGAAAAAGCTTCATAATGAATACAACATTCTACACTGGCATTTAAAACAGTTTTTCTCATAAAAGCAATTCAAGAAATCTGAAATAATAAAATTCAAAATACTAAAATACTAAATATATTAAAGGAAAACATGGCTCTGACTGATGAGTGGTTTTCCATTTGCAGGTATGTTTTTTGATTCATGCAAACTTCTAAGATTTTAGTCGCTCATCACCATTTCAGATACTAAACACTTCCTCACAGTTGAAAGTTCAATGTGCGTTCTTACACTGAATGTCAGTCATATACTGCGACTTAGTCTACATGTAGTAGAAGAAATCTATTCATGAAGTTTCACATGCTTTTCAGAGGACAGTAGTTACCACAAACAAAAAATAAATTTTCATATAAAAATGCAAACATGATCTATACTACTAAGCATCAGCACAACTAATTTGGAAAAAAATGAAACAAGTTAAAACTACAAAAATATACTTTCATAATGTTTTCCAACTGAAACACTGACTCAGAAGTTTCTACAAAAAGGATAGGCTATTATAAATTCTGGATGCCAACTTTTTATACAATAATAGTTTTTACAGGGTGATACACAGTCCAGTTTCATCAGCCTCTTCAGAGCCAGTGCAGGCTCAATGTCCAGTTCACATTTCTGAACTGCCACTAAATTCTAACCATCAAGCAGATAAAAGCAAAGAAAAGATACAACAAAACATTTATCCTTAACATGAGACTCAAGACAGTTCTAAATGGTAAGAAAGCCATGAGTTAAGAAATAACAAGACAAAGAATAAATTTAGCCTTTTGCAACACTTTCTTCTATAATCTATTAAAAGCAACAATCTTACAACAGAATCTATACAAGTATTTTTAACTTATGAAGCTGAAAAATTAATGTTTTGTAGATACGCTTTTGTACCCATCTAGTTTTATAGCAACCAGGCACATGGAGTGAATCTTGGGGCTTTCCTGTTCAGAGGGTGTGAAGCTAAACTTTGATGATCCCTTCCAACTCAGAGTACTCTTATCTCATGATTCTGTGACTGTATTAGCTTCAGTCTTAAAATGCACAATAAATGTATTACTGCCAGGTCTGCTTCCATTTTGCTACCAATTTATGGCAGAATATATTAAAAAAGAAATCTATCTTACCGAACTATAACAAATGAGAAGTTTTTGGAAAGTATAAACTTTCCCGTTCATTTCAACACGAGACTGTAATTCTGATTTTTTAGAAGAACTCCTAAACCATACGTTTTTGCACATCTCAATGCCACATGGAAATAATTTCTCAAATTTAGCTCCTGTGATTTAAGGCTTTCTCCTCCTCTGGAATTTGTCACATTTTTATAAATAAATAATAAAGCATGTACACACTGCCAAGAATGAAGACTTTGAAACAGCTCAACTTAACTTTTCGAAGAGAAAGAAAGAAGTTAGATCAATGACCTCTAAATTCTAGCAGGTTAAATATATCCCACCAAAAATAACAAAGATTTTTACAATTTTAATAGACTATAAGCCTGCATCTTTTTTCCCAAAAATTATAATCCTACACAATGAAATGCTTCAAGAAAGCATCAGATCAGCTTATTCAAAACAAACAGTTGTTCTGTTAGTGAAATGACAGTTTACATCAAAATATTAATAGAATTATATCCGGATCAAAATATATTTGTATTACTAGAATGTCTTGTAGATGTTCCTAAATCATCTAGCAGTCAAAAAGCATCCATTAGATTTCACAATTACAAAATGCTACATGGCAAAATGTAGCATTTTTCAGCTTTATTATTACTAAAGTATATATATTATTTTTCTTCAGAAGATTTTAAATACTAGATAGACAATTTCTTGACACTAACTTAGATTAGCTTAAATTGCTACCTCAAAAAATACAAAAGTTCATAAATAATTGAGTCTGTTTAACGACATTATGCTTTAACAGTGGAATGTTAGGATAATGCACAAGCAAAGTACATTTTCCCAGTACAAAACTGTGGTACAGAGGAGGAAAAAGTTATTATCCTATTAGCAAAGATTAACTAATCAAAATAACTCTGAGGACCTGCTGGTTTCCCAAACCTCTTAGCAACAAATCCGTGTACGTTTTTTGAATGAAATAAATACTAAGTACATTCTAGTTTAAACTTTCCAAGAAAAAATTATTTTTAAAAATTTACCAACTACGAGAAAGTTCTCCCTCAAAAAGATGAAAATGAAGACTTTCCCATCCACGACTAAATTTAATGATCTTTCCTATCTCTTCCTTTTGAAAACCAAAAAAAAAGAGAATTTTGCAGGATTAGAAACTAGCTTTCTAAAATACTAATTTCTTTATGCAGTAATATGTTGATAGCTTCCCAGATGGCTAACTACTGCTTTCCCTTTTTCATTTGCGCATTTTGATATAGCTGACATTACCTGGCATACTTTTCCCACTTATGTCAGCATTCATGACAGCAGTAAAAACAAAGAAAATAAAAAAAAATTAAAAAGAGGCATTAAAGTGAAATACTGAGGAGTGGGTCTGTTAATTCAAATAATCCTAGAAAATGCCTCCTTAACAATATCTGATTTACACATGTCAAAACAAGATATGGTTTTGCAGCTATTCCACTGGGCCTTCCAAACAATCTAGCATTTCAAGGATTTTGACTGCATCTGGGATAGACACTCAAATATTAATGCAGGGGCATTCAAACCTGGCCAGCGGCTTTACCAGCAACTGGCAAGAAGCCAACTTTGTAAAGCTGAAGCCAGTCAAGAGATATGGTTTTAAGCACTTACAAAGCTGCAGCTCACAAGATACATCCCGTCCCTCAAGACATTGGAACGTCTTAAATTGAATGACCTTGTCTCAGATAAAGATGGATTTTTGCCTGCCAGTTACAAGTCCCCAAAGGCTGGATTAATATAGAGATGTGGATCATTCTGCAGAACTCCACACAGAGCACTCAACCACAGCAACTAAAACACTGAGAATGTAGGCTCTAAGTATTTCATGTTATTTTCCTAAGTGGATGATTACTTTTGTAGAGAATCAACTGAAAATGGAGCCCTCCCTCAGCATCCTTAATAGCACTAACAAGAGACAAGTAGTGTTAAAAAACTTCTGTGCTACTGGATTTTTTGCTAGGTGCCCAAATGTAAAGCATCGACCAATATAGCACATGCTAGAAGACATGTAGTACTATTAGCCATATCCAAGACATCTTCTTAACTTTTTGATCTGTAACTCAACTTTATTTTTCCTATTGCACAGCAAATAATTACCTGTCAAAATATCTGTGTTTTGTGCAGCTATTGTTTTCACTTTTATTATTCCTGATTCAGCGGCCTGGAAGAAAAGAAAGCAAGTAGTTTAGGTGCTATATCATACATCAATATCTGCAAAGAAAAAAATTATTGTAGATACATAAAAAAGTACAGTCTCAGAGCAAGAAATGTGTTCGCAGTGGTTTCTGCTAGCAGAGCTAATGCAGATGTGAAATTTTTGTAGCTGCTGGAATTAATTTCTAGAATTCCACAGGAAGGGTTATATTCAGAATTTTTAGAAATCATTATTCTCATTTTATTACTTTCCAGTCATATGAATGCAAAAAAAATCTAGCAAGCATGAACTAGCAAGCATAACTAGCACTGTTATATAGCCTCTATACAGTCTCAAACTATGAGTATAACAATGAAACCCATCTTCCCCTGTTTTTTGACTCCCAAATATCCAATACAAACTATCCCAGGGCAATGCCACGAAGATGACTTTCTAACAATACTCTCTGTTCTTTCCAGCATGCCATACAGTGCACAGCACTAGTTCCTCCCCTTTCCCCACAAGTCTGAGTTGGCAGAGCATTGTCCTCTCCCTCGCACACTCCTTCAGCAGGGCCAGGGCTGCGGGCCAGGGGCTGCATGGGTACAGCGCAGTCAGGTGACAACCAGGGCTGCCCAGCCCAGCCAGGACATCACACATGCCCCCTAGGGAACAGCAACTCCCTCTTCAATGCTCACAAACACCTCCTCATAGAAATCACTCAAGTCATGTTCTCTACTGGAAATCAAGCCAAACTGGAAACGTGACGTTGAAGCTTTGCATTTCAAGACTGACTTCCGAAAGCTTTGTGTACAAAATACAAAAGATATAGTCTACATTGTGCCTTTCCATTTTTAAATTTCATTAATACACTATAAGCCTCTGGAAAGAATAAAATAAATCAAAATAAATGCAACAGGTTTTCCCAAATGACTGGATTCCTATCGCTGGAATATACTGTTCTGAAAATTTGAAAACACACTTCCTCTTTTATTTCAGCTTTGTATTTCTGTGCACTTTCCACACTAAACATTTCTATTTTTCCTCTGATACTAATATTTAAAGATGTGTGCTGTCACCACATAAAACAGATTAGAGAAGCAGAAAAGCAGTGACAGCAGAAATATGAAAACGATAGTGCATGAAATTTTACCAAGTATTAATATTCCCTCTCTATCAGAACACTATTCCAACAAGGTTTCAAGGAAAGTCAGGCTAAGGTGACTGTATAAATTCACAATTAAATATTTTAATTAAGAGTTGAAATACACATTTCTCAAAACAGCTAAATGAGAAATGCAAAGCTGAAGCTTGTTTGGTTGGTTTTTAAAAAAAAAACATTTATTTCCCAAAACAATATAGGAAGTCTAAACACTGACTTAAAATCCTGGAGATTTATTTAGGTTTTCCTGAACACAGTTTTCCACTTTAAAAATAATGTAAATAATATCCACAGCCTGATTAACAATACAACATGTTCAAATGAGCACAAAGCAACATGAACTAAATATTTTGCATAACTAAAATAAGGTGTGCCAAATGCAGCTCTAATGTGTTGAAGTTCTTGAGATTTAAGTCATACCCTGTTCTTCTTCAGTTATAAACTGTCAGCTAATTGGAGGGGTTCTTGTCACAACACATTGTTCTTATCAATTAATCTGAAGGATTTGTCATAGTCCAACCTCAATTATCTTTAAACTAAAACTAATCACATCTACTGGCAATTGATTTCTGTCTTGCCAGGAGTGACAAACTCACTCCGATTCAAAGAAATATTAAGCCTGCTCATATTAGTGGAATTCATAAATTCCATGCACTTTGCACAAAAATTCTCCAACATAATGTCTCTCAGTTGTTCTCATGCTGCCTTTAGATAAAATAGTATACATTTTCTTTTAAAAAATAAGGTAAAACAAAACAAAACAACTGCTGAATATAAGCATTCTTCTCCATGAGATGCAGAAATTTGTATGATCATCTGCATTATGATATGGTTTCTATTCAAAATCCCAGTTAAAAATGCTTACAGTTAAAAACTAATTACACCAGTCACATCCTACGAAAGAAAAATATTCTGTTATATATGTAAAGAAACAACACATTAACATCATAAAAAAACCCTAGTTGATCACAAAGAGCCAACAGAAAACACGATAACTATAAACCGTTTCTAATCTGTATACATGAATTTAAAAGTGTGATTGGATTGCATCAATTTAAGTGGCAAATTAAAAGATATATTCACAGCTTTTAAGTTGACAAATTCACATCAATTACTACAGCAGTTTGCAGGACACTGCCACATGAGAAAAGGATCTTATAAAACACTAATCAAGGAAAGAGACACCATTATAGCGTGTGTATTTAGGGGTACAAATATGATCATTTACTTTCACATGCACACAAGGCACCATGTTTTTAAAGCAATCACCAATTTTAGACATAACAGTACCAGCTTCCCTTAGCACCACAACTCACAGTAGTCTAATGAGCAAGTCAGTTGTCTCTTTATTATGAAAAAAAGCAAACACATGTAATTCCTGAAACACAACAAAGCTTAAATGTACTTAAAACCTTCAGCAAAGATTTCCAATTCTGCTGCTTTAATAACTGAAATGGAACTGATATCAAATATCTCAAACACACACCTGCTATTATTGAGTTTTGGTTCATATTTCTCCTGAAGCAACTGCAGCATCCAGTCTGGGAAGGTGAAATACTGATGAAGAAGAGGAGGTGACTCAGTGATAGCAGATATTCAAATCAATCTCTTCCAGTACTTTTATCTAGTTTTAATCAATCAATAATCCCACAGCAAAATTCAATAGGACCCCCTGGGCTCAAACACTTGCCCCATCATCTTTCTGCTTCCTTTGAAATTACTATGTATCTTCTGATTATGTGGAAACCACCCTTCAGAGAAATCAAAGTAAGGCAAATACAGAATCTATGTACAAAAAAAAAAAAAAAAAAAAAAAAAAAAATTAAAAAATCACAACAGTGCAGTTTCAAGTAGACCGAAGTCTGCTCATAATATCTACCTCTTGGCCTCAAAATCCCTCTCTGAATGTACAATCTGACAACAGCAACCTCTGCCTGTAAGGCACCTGTGAGTTTCTCTGCACATGAGAGACCATGATGTGGAAATGCATAGAGACTTCCAAACTCAGCTTCAGGAGTTTCTCAGATCCAAAACTCGTCCCCTCCTAATTGACTTCTCAGTCTTTAGTTGAAACAGGGAAGAAATTCAGCCTTCCTATCACTAGAAGTGCTGTGAGCATCTTTCCAATTTTCGGAAATTTTTACTTTGTTATCTGGTAAGTGCTTTAGACCCTAAACAGAGGCAGGTAATATCTACTCGGGCGATCAAGAAGGACAGATTTAACATATCCTCAAGCAGAACCAACATTTACCAACATCCAGGTAACATTCTAAACAAACTAATTTTCTCCACTTTTTAGTCTGTGTACACATATTTAAAGATCTGTAACTCATAAATAGCATATGAAGGTATTAGGATAACTGGGATATTCAATTCTACATGAATTCAGCATGATGTAATGGCAAGCCCTGTGCACCACGAATAATAAGTGCATCTAGAAAGCACCAGTTCTTCAAATCTGTCTTCTGGGACACTGTGGAAGCCCTTAAGTACAGCTGCAGCAGTAATCTGCATTATTAGGATATCACTAGAGCTAACTCCATAATCATCATAATGTTCCCTGGCAGCCCAAGAACGGGAGTTGTCTTGGAAGTACAAAGAATAATGGCACGATATATGCTTGAACATTTAACTCTCAGAGACCAAGACATATTGGACCTCTACTGCAATGCATACAGACAGACAAGTAAGGGACCAGACGGGTCACCTGGGATGTGATCCAACAGTACATCAGGTGCTCTGCAGTAATCTCTATGGATTTGTCTTTACTCTGGTGTAAAAATGAAAGCGTTACCCTTCTCTTACTGAAAAACAATTACATAGTTAACAACTTTTCCTAAGGCAAAGATGACACAAAATTCGAATCTAAAGTGAGAAAAAGCAATTGTTGTCTCTGCCATAGCAATTGGTTTTTTTAATGTTTCAAACCTGTTTTTTAAAAAAAGCTTTAAAAAGGATAAATATGCTGATCTTCAAAGGAATTTGTATCTAACAACTAGGAACAGAAAGTAGCACCTTTTTGACTTTATTAACCAGAAAAAAAATATATTCCCATAAGGATATTTAATGTAATGACCAAGCATGTGCTGATTTCTACTAAGGATTGATCTGACATTAAGGATACTTTTGTATGAATTTCTAAATGTGATAGCATTATTACCAAAAGTTAATAAAATCAAGAATTTTCAATGCTAGTGCTTTTGAATGACCATTTGTGTTTTCATTGCACATTAGAGCAAACTGCTATCTCCAAAGACACTAAAATTGTTATAATGTTTGCAGTCCTTACCAGACAAGTTATTGATTTCTGTATCCTAAAAAGCAAAGCTTTCAGGAATGATGGTTTTTATTAGTATTTACATTACATTGTTTGCCAACCTTCTATTAAGACTGGATAAAAGTAATATGTTATCTCTAGTCATTTCCGTTTCTATTACATGAAATAAAAAGTGCAATTTTTTTCTATCCGCAGGATTGTCTGTCTTTCCAACTGGAATACTAACCCTGTATCCAACAGTTTAGGTAAGAGGTCCTTCTGTCTAAAGTACAGTTTCACTTTATTGTTATTCTAGCTTGCTGTGCAAAAGCACATTCTGGACCATTACTGTACTGCTAAACTATTATTTAGAAAAGAACACACAAAAAACTCCTTACTCAATCAGTTTCATGAAAGCACTCAAGTGTACCACATTTGTGTGAAAAAACATTGTACTTGCCTTCTGTATTTTTATCTTCCTCCTCTTGAGTACAATATCTACTCTGACCCTTCTCTTTTATATATACTCACTTCACATGTAATTTAAACTGGCAAATGATCTGACATTGCTGTGCTGGGTTTATTACACTGAATAATTTATCATTTTGT